AATTTAATTTGAAATCTTAATGTTCTGTTTGTGTTGAGAAGAATTAGAGCATAATATTCGACTTTACAAGTCGAAGTAAGTACATTTTTCAAAACCTTGCTTCATTTTAAAAGCACAGTTAAAGATTAATGTACTGTATTTCATTAACAAGTGATATTTGAAATATTTTGTGGATCATGGAATATCAAAATAATTAAATAGCAATGATGATATAAATCTTAATGTGCTTTATTATTTTAATAAAATCTAAGCAAATCTAAAGCACCGTCTGCATCATCGCGTTTTACCTGTCAGTTTTGCGTGTCATGTAAAAGGGAAGACAGTTTTGAAAATTCACGTCAGATTTACGTACTGTTTTATCAATGATACACTCACCGAACACAAAAACCGAGCATTTTAAAATTTTGATGTACTTTAAGAAAAAAAAATATACAGGGTGTCCCAGAAATAAGTGCAAGTATTTTAAGGGGTGGTAGATCTGGTCAAAAGAAACGTTTTTTCTCTTTACCGTTTTTCAATTAAGTCCAAAATAACCGAGTTATTTTGCTTTGGAAATTTCCAAAAAAAAATGATTTTTTTGCTAAAATTTTGAGAACCACTGGATCTTTTCTGGATTTTCTTTCAAGGAAATTTAAGCCACTACCTATGTTGCCATATTTTCAAGAAATTATATTTTTTAAATTCCAACATTTTTTTCAAAAAACTCCAAATTTTAATTTTTTTTTCGCAAAAAATACCTCATAGGCGTGTTTCTGAGGCCAAAATATACTACCAGTTAAAATACTTGCACTTATGTCTGGGATACCCTGTATAAACAAAAAATAAAATAAATGTCTCCAGGAATCACAATTTATTTCTAATTATTCGTGACTAGACATACATCTTGTTCTAGTTGGCCAATTTTGATGATTTTTAAGCAAATTGTAGTAGATTATTTGACTTTTTAGTTATCTATTCCTAAATTAAAAATAACGCTTCCATCTGATACGAGGGAAAACAAAATGTTGATATTCTAGTAACAGTTTGTTGAAATCTTTGTTACAAATTTTCCCAAAATTCGCGTATTATAATGATTTTTTAAAGAGTTAAAAAAGAAAACTGCCTTAAAATATTCAAACTTCAACCTTTAATAACTTTCGAACAGTGAGGTTTACAAAAAAATTGTAAGAGACCTTTTTTGTAGAGAATTCAATTATTATATTATTCCTACAAATATATGCTATTTTCCAATTAGTAGATACCGAGACATGAATTGTTCTTTTCAATAATAAGGAAAAAATAGAAAACTGAAAGACGGAGGACCTTCCTATTAAAATTAAGGGCTCATACTTGAAGAGAATTTTTTTGAGGTGTCTACCCAAGAACAGTTAACCTAATAGGACAGCTCATTCAGCCAAAAGTGTCTGCCAGGTGCATGCGAAAACTTCTCGCTTTGTGACGTAATTGTAGTCCTTGTCATGGTTATTAGTCCTTATCCGGCAACCAATAATACACACACGTGCATTATTGGTTGCCGGATGCAAAACGTGCATTCTTTAGTTTATTTTGACTTTATTTATTCAAACACCTTATATGTATGCAGTATAAAAAATAAACTCTATAAATCGTATTAAATATTCGGATAATGCATTTTTAAGAACAGCAGTTCTTAAAAGAAATTCTTTTTAGAGTACTTCCATATTTTGCTTTAAAATAATTAATAAACAATATCCTAGGCACTTAGTAAGCACTTTGTCACAATCCACAACACAAAATGAACGTATTTATACACTCTATAGCTCTAAAAACTTTAAAAACACCTTTTTTGCATTTAAAATTGACAAAATAATTAACTCAAAATTTCTCAGCTGCTATTTTTATAAGTTTACCATAGGCAACTAATAATACACACTATCATGACAAGGCCACGAAGGCTTTGACAAAGGCTACAATGACGTCACAACTGTCAGCTGAAGCGCGGGAAGAGGCGAACGTACGTCTTATGAGGATGCAATCCTATTAGTTTACCGTTCTTGGGTAGACACCAAGAACGGTAAATTAATAGGATTGCTCATCCTCATAAGACGTACGTTCGCCTCTTCCCGCGCTTCAGCTGACAGTTGTGACGTCATTGTAGTCCTTGTCATGATAGTGTGTATTATTAGTTGCCTATAGTAAACTTATAAAAATAACAGATGAGAAATTTTGAGTTAATTATTTTGTCAATTTTAAATGCAAAAAAGGTGTTTTTAAAGTTTTTAGAGCTATAGAGTGTATAAATACGTTCATTTTGTGTTGTGGATTGTGACAAAGTGCTTACTAAGTGCCTAGGATATTGTTTATTAATTATTTTAAAGCAAAATATGGAAGTACTCTAAAAAGAATTTCTTTTAAGAACTGCTGTTCTTAAAAATGCATTATCCGAATATTTAATACGATTTATAGAGTTTATTTTTTATACTGCATACATATAAGGTGTTTGAATAAATAAAGTCAAAATAAACTAAAGAATGCACGTTTTGCATTCGGTAACCAATAATGCACGTGTGTGTATTATTGGTTGCCGGATAAGGACTAATAACCATGACAAGGGCTACAGTGACGTCACAAAGCGAGTAGTTTTCGCATGCACCTGGCGGACACTTTTGGCTGAATGAGCAGTCCTATTAGGTTAACTGTTCTTGGTGTCTACCAACCTTTTTTCAGAGTATAAAGTGATTATAAATAAATTATTATACAACTTTTTGAACATAGGGTTGTGGTTTTTTCATAAAAAATAGGCAAAATAGGTATAGTGTGGGATTTCTAAATTATATAAATAAATTATACTTAAGAGTCTATTACGCTGTACTGTTCGGGTGGGTCTCCGGGGTCGGGTAAAGCGGGTGTATGACCGAAGGAAATATATATTATATTTCAGAAATCTGCCAGGCTTAGCCCGAAGTCACACCCGAAATTCCAAACGCACGTGCTTTGATTAAGGCTTGATTAAGGTTTGCAGTGCTTCAGCATTTTCCATAAAATAGCGAGCAATTTGTTACAAAACCATATAAATTATATATCACTGTAATCACAAAACTTTAATCTATTTCCATATTGTAACGAAATTTTAAGTTACGTTTTTATTTTCGAGGAAATTTAGTCCAAACATAAGGAATGTTTTGTTGGGTGCTTGTCAGATATAACACCCTCCAAATTTGGCATTTATTTATATATCAGTCGAAAGCATACACTTAAATAAGAATTTTAAGCAAAAAAAAATTGCGGATGAACCACAATTTATTGAAAAATCAATAAATTCTGAAAAGTGCATTTTTAGGTTACGGTGAAGTTGTATAAGCGTGTAATTATTGTAAAATATGACGATTATATGCATTTTTTAATTAATATAAAGGTCAGAATTAATCATTGAGAAGCATTAATAAGTCATAAATCAAAAATAGAGTTGGTGATATATTTTGTAATATTTGCCTGATCGATTTACTTTTTCGATTCAAACTTGCCGTCGGAGCCGTCTGTCACCATTTGTTGTTAAGGATGTAAGCTGCCTAAGCATTGTTGTCAAAGTTATTTCTTGTTTGTATGATACATAATACCGTATGATCGAAAAAAAAAACGGCGTCCAGTTGGCTTGGAAATGACGATCGCTGACATTCACCATATCATTTTACATATAAGATGACAGCGATGTTCATTTCATAGCCATGGCTGACGCCGTTTTTTTTTCGATCATACGGTACGTTACCTATAGTACATGACACAAAAAAAGAAACGATATAAGTATGTCCTTGTTTACGTGCGGTTCGTATTTCTTTTTATTTTATCAGTTGCAATCAATAATTATTTAGATAAAAGAAGAAAATTAATTTTAGTGTTCGCCAGGTGTTCGGTGAAATTTGGGTGAGATGGAAATGAACCAAATAATAGTAGTATTCTTTCGTCCTGAACGAAATGAAAATTTTCACTTAAACTGATTTATTCCTACGTGGTATAGGAAATAACAATGATTTCTGGATTTTTCTATATCGGATCGTTCCTTTTTTTGTCGATTCCCTTTATAAATCAGTTTAAGTGAAAATTTTCAGTTCGTTCAGAACGAAAGAATACTACTAATAGTACTATACTAATTACTAATATTCGTATTCGTCCATAAGAGGTTATGTTCTATGTTCATTTCAGAGATTCATTTGTAATTCGGTTACCACAGATATAATATAAAATACTACTAATTTTTATCTCGATATATCCAAAAAGATAATTCGAATTAGTTAGTTTTAATTTACTATCGAATTAGTCGTATTATTTAATTCGAATTTTCCCAACACTAGTAGCAATAATTAGATGTTTATTTTTTCATTAAATTATGGATCATCCACACTTTTTTTTGGCTTGAAATACTTATTTCGATGTATGCTTTCGAGTGATATAAAAAAAAGTACAAAATTCGGAGGGTGTTATATCTGACAAGCACCGTTTGTTGATGTTTGACCATCAAAACCTTAAAAATAAAGAAGTCTAAAAATGTGCTACAATACGACGGATATAGTATAATTCCTTATCTTTAATTTCCTTCTTCATTTTGAGTAAACATACCTAGCCAGTTTTACATAAAACGTTAAATGCTGGACGCTTATTTTGGAACTCTTTCAGACTAGTGAAATGGACTCTTAACGACTATTCATAACTCTATGTTTATATCCAAATTCCGAATATTACAAAATTAATCTTTTAAATATCAAAGTATCTGTTTTTATTTATTTATAATTTGAATGTGAGACTAAGATCACCTAAGATGCAATATATGGGAACAAAGCCATAAAATATTAAATGATAATAAAGATTTATGATCAACCATGCTTTGAATTGTGACAGAAATAGCAATTCTCATAGGAAATTACTATTACACTAAACTGTTTATTGCTGAAAATTATTATTTTACAAATGCTATATTTTACTACTTGTAATAAATATATTACATTTAATTATTTATATTACATTTACAAATGTTCTGTTTATTGCAGGTTGTTAGAAGGACATTCTTCATTTCATGTTGGATATATGTTGCACAATGTTCAACTTTTTCATTTCGTAAAGTTCAATTTTTACCAGCCACTTCATTTACTAGAAGAGAAGACCATTTCATAAGCTCTAGTAAATTTGTGCCATCACATAACTTCGAAGACTTTGGATCATCCCATAATTTTGGTAAGATTCGTTTGTTATTATTATTAAACACATAAATATTTACAGGGTGTCCCAATATTCCGTAGACATGGAACTACTACGTATGTTTGGAATCAAAATAAGTTCATTGGATACAATTTACCTCTATACAAAATTGCTTCGTTTGTCCGCTAGAGGGCATCAAACTTTAAAAAAATAAGCAAATTTTTTTCAGGTATTTTAAGAACAGTTATTCCTATTTGAATGAGATTTTGGGTGTCTGGATGTTTTGCTAAGTCCTCTAACATTTGACTTTTACAAAAATCGAAATCGAAAAGTACGAGAAGGATGAAAACTATATACCCTCAGTCCTACATAAATTTTAGTATTGTTACATTTTTCGTCGGTTCCGTGTGGATAGAAAGTCACAATTTATTTAACACTAATTAACAAAAACAATAACGATAAGAGACTTACAGAATTATTTACAAACGATTTATAACTATTGATCTAGAAAGAATTTATTTTGAATTTTAGCGCGTCAACTGTAGTCGTCTATTTAAGTCTGTCCTCTTTAGGCCCCAGCCGCCGACTTTTATACCCACAGCTAAAGATTTCTCGAATAGTCCATAGATCGTTAGGTGCATAGAGAAGGTTTCGATTGTTCTCGTATGTACTACTCCATTCCAGTGGAACTCGATTCTTCTCGAAACTTCGAATGAATAATTACGGTGTCTATTCTTTAATGCGATGTTAAGATCATCTGAAGGCGGGACATATAGTTAGGTTAGGTCGAGTTCACACGGGTCCGCAACAGTATAAATCACAAAACACATACACAAGGAGAAGTGCGAGCGCCTTGCTAAATATTGGAAAGTGAAATTGACGTTTAAATTTGACACTGTTGACAAGTCTACTGCTACTAGCGCCCCCAATATCGCTTGTAGGAACTACGGACTAGATTGTCACGCATGGCGGGAAGTTTAAAAAAATAAAAAATTTTAATTCTTCATTTATTTTTAATTATGACATAGATAAAAACACAAAAAATACACCATTTTTTAAAAATATGTTTAATATCAATATCAAATATACAACAGAAATTAATTTCACCACAATAAATTAATAAAATTAAAAAATAATGTTACAAGTAGATCAAGAGACAAAATTAATTATAACAAAACTGAAAAAAATGGCGTCATAGATGGCTTAGAAATGACGATATATATCATAATTTTGAAAGTAAAATTATATAGGAAATGTCATCGATCATCATTTTGAAGCCAACTGGACGATTATTTCAAACATACAAGCTGAGTTCGTTCATAGTGCTCTGAGAAATCTAGATAAACAAAGAATAATAAATTAAAAGTATTCCAGGGAAAAAGAGAGGAAAAACCTGTATCGTCTCTGATATCTGTCAGGGTTTTGTTGAAAGTGTCATCTTTTTGCTCGAAGTTTTCAGGTCGATTAAAAAGATGACATTTACAACAATACTTTGCCGTAACTTTCACAAATATCAGAGAGAGAGTACAGGTATTGCCTCTCTTTTCCTCTGGGATGCTTTATATCTGTTCTTCTTTGTTTACCTATATTTCTAAGAGCATAATGCCAAACACGACTACAGTATATAATAATTTCAATATCCTAAGTGGAAAGAAAAAAGATCACCTTTCTGTTTTGTACTATGGTCCCTTTCTTCCGATGGCTCATCTCGTTGATATTTAGGAAGGTATCCATAAAATATATATTTTATTATCGGTCCTGGGATGAAAAAATATAAAATTCAATTTCATTTGATGATCCTTTTCTGTCACCTAAATCAGGAGAATGACAATGAGCATGTTAAGATGAAAAAAAACTTATTTATCAACACTTACCTACACGTTAGTCCAAGGAGTTTTATCAAAAACCTATATTTGCCTAAATAATTTATGTATTCAATTTACCAATGAAATTTACAAAGCAAACTGCAGCGTGTAAACAAAAGAAAATAAAGTGGCGACAAGTCAACGTCAACGACCCGACAAGGAAAAAAGTGGTGTTCGAATAACAAATTATGGGTCACCAAAAATTGTTTTTAGGCCCCCTTCAACGCACACTTTAGAAAGAAAAAGAGATGAACTGTTATACTGAAAGAATGTCTTATTTTGTCTGTCACGAAGGTTGTATCCAGGCGGATGAAACTGCCATTTGAATTTTGGAAACACGGCGGAGTTTCTGCCAGTAGAGGGATAGATGGCGCTGCGTAGAAATTTCATCTAAAGTCCCTAGATATTCATCTAGGGACTTTAATTTCATCATGATTTTATCAAGTCATCCACAGAGTATAGTTTAAATAACAATTCGTTTGATTCTCTGTGGAGTAATTGGAGTAGTTGGAGTAGTTGAAAAATATAAATATTTATATAAAATGTTGATAATTTAACAGCGATGTGCTTTGTTACCCTATGAATAAACATTGATATGAAGTTGCTTTCGCCAGAAACAATTATAATTAAATAATTTAATAAAAATTTAATTTCTAAGTGACCCGGATCAGTTAGATCAGTAAAATAAATTGAAAAATAAACGTCATTCCATATTTGGCAATGTCTGTCAGTTTCTGTGAAGTGGAAGTGAATTGTGATTTGTTTTTATGGGAATATTTTACGGATTTTTGCGAATTTAGAGTATTTTGGACGATAGGATTGTGAAATTTAAAAGCCAAGTAGTTTAATATATAAGATTAATTAATCCCTGTGATAATTTTTATGAAATTTCTCATAATCAAAACAAATTCTTTCAACAAAATGGCTGTCTCAGAAATTTGGAAGATCATTAATTTTAAAGTTTTATTTAAGTGTATTTATATCGAATCAAGAATTTGTATAACATATTAAAAGCTTAATTTTAAAGGTTGTGCAGTAATTTATGTAAGTGTACGCTTTTAGATAAATATTAAATATACAAATTTGCAAAGACAAACAAGTAATTTTAAAAAGATCATTTATTTATTTAAACGAGTATAATCATTAATCATTAGGTTGAAAATATATTTGTATTTACTTATTTATATATTTTCTATACCCTTGTATTATTTATAAGCCCTATATGTCCTGTTTTATTTGAAAAAAAAATGCTTCGAGTCATCGAGAATAGATTTAATAACAATTTTGTCCCTTGGCTTTGTGTATTATATAATGTGAATTGTAAGATGTTTCTATTTGAATAGGTCATTAAAGTTGAGATTAAAGTTATACCAAATTATATTCACGGTAACTATATGTCTTTTATATAATGAATTATTTATTTATAATTTATAACCTTTTTTATAATTACTTATAACTGATTGTATAAATTCTGATAACTTTTATATATACTTGTATAGTGTTGAATGTGTTATATGTAATTTTATTAACAATGTTATAATAAAATAATCAAGTTACAAATTTTTCGTGTTTTATTCTAATTTCAGGGATAATTTCAACCTAATTATTAATTTATTTGTATCAAAATACATTATTTTTATTTTGTAAAATGTTTTGTTACAAATAAGTTCATAATCTAGATTGAAATTACCAAATATAAGTAAAAAACTTATGAACTGGCAGTAAAGGTCCATTTAAAAATATGGCGCGAACTTTTAGTTCTGCCAGTAGCCCGCTTGGATCGCGTCGAGCGCGTGTTTCCAGGCTTTAACATAGGAGTTTTCATTTCTTTCAGTTAGTTATTCTATGGTTGTATCTGTCACTCTTGTCAATAATTTATCGGTAAGGAAGATTCCTAGAAAATCGCTTGTAGTCAAGTTTCCAACCATTGCCAGTTCTCCCATAAGAAGTGTCATCCACCTGTTATAAATATTTTCCAACTCCACCGGCGGACTATGGGATATTTTACCTCAAAACCTGGCCAATATTTTTATTTTTTTTGCATTCTTCCGCCTTTTAAAACGTGAGAAAATAAAAAAATTGCTTCAAATTTTAATACATACCTAGCGTTTTTTTATTGACAAGATTAAGATTGAATTATATAATATAAATACCTAAGTTAATTTAGGGTGTCACTCAATAACATGTCAATACTCGAGGGAGTGATTCCTCAGGTCATTTTATGGAGAAAAGTTCCCATAAACATAGGTCCAGAAATGCATTGTTTCTAAGATACAGGGTGTTGAAAGTGAAAAACACTACATTTTTATTCGATTAAAAAAAATTTTAACTGCCAAACTCGCAAAAATTAGCAAAATTTCTTTATCAAGGCCTTCTAAAGGAATACTTAAGCTACAAAACCATCCAGATTGATATACTTCATAAGGTTCGATTACATACTGAAAGTTTACATAAATATTCTGTTATAAATGAAATAATATCTCTATTATTGAACTAGCAGATTAATATTTTTCTGACTACAAAATAACAGTTATACTAAAGAGTAATACTGAACAAGTCTTTCTTCAACCCCTCCATACTAATATAAGATCAATAAAAGATCGCGATTAGTAAGAAAAACTAAGATAATTATTATTAAGTAAATTTTCTAAAAGCACAGTGATACACAACCCGTCTATTCGAAGAACAATTTGTGATTGGCGCGGAGTGTAACACGGCGGGTCATTGACCCCTACCACCCACACTCAAATACATTCATGTTTATACAAATAATTCCTGGTATCGGTTGGTTGATATCTTGATTTTTGAATATTGGCCAACCTTTTGGGTTAAATACCCTTTAGTGCGACGGCCGATTTTCTTTTTCTTAAAATGGTCCTCCTAGTATTTACTACGTCTATATGCTACGTATATAAAATGACAGTGATATTCATTTCATAGCTATCGCTAACGCCGTTTTTTCCCGATTATACAATATGAACTTGGTATGAACACAATCGAACGTCAGGAAGTGGTATCATAATAGTAGAACAATACTTATTATATTAGGGAGTTTTCGTTGCTTACAAATTGCAATTCCGGTTAACGCTAATTGACAACTTTGACATTTCAATTTCGATTATCGTATATCGTAACCGCTAGCTGCCGATATTTTACGGACGTTAGCCAAAGCCGTTAACATAGCGGTACGCATGCGCACTAGCGCAGTAGAAACACAACATTGAAAGATACAGATCTAACCTAACATCATTCTATTTTGTTTATGTTTTGATTATTTATTTTATCTGTGTTAAACTCGTTGGGAATTCTTAGTGCTTCAACTAATCGAGGAATGTCTTTTTTTTCAAAGCAGAAGTTAGCTTTGCACTCTTGGTCAGATAATATTTTTAGGTTGAACTCCCCATAAAGTTCTGCTCGATATTCGATGTTGTTTTCAAACCCTTCCAACAGCACAGCATCCTCCAAATCCGATTCATCACTAGAGTCCAATAAAATTAAATTGTCCATCCTATATAGCGATACCCAATAAAGTCATATAAAGAACTTTCAAATCAAACAACAATACAAAAACCAAAAATCAAAATACTACGCTACGGGCTGTGCTTAGCTGTCAGTTTTCGGTTATCGTATCGTATGTCGGCTCCGAACCGATGAACCGAAAGTCCGAAAACTGTTTTTTTATCTGTCAAAATAGCGGTTATGGTTACGTATCCGTTAACCGTACCGTTGAATTTTTTTAAAGCAACGAAAACTCCCTATTGTCGCCGAATTACAATGAAAATTCAGGATTCAATTATACAATCAAACGTCAGGAAGTGATTGTAATTTAGTTCATAAGATTTAATTCCAACTAACATGGCAAACTGAAAAAAACAGCTCTGATCTATTTTAATATGTTTAAATGATGTAGCAAATTTGAAGGTAGGCTTTATCAGGAAGTATTACGATATGAATTACACAATGGCAACACTGCACAAAATTCTTTTAAATTTTGTTTGTAAAAAACTGTTTTCTTTTAAATTTATTGCCCTCTATTATGTAGTAGCGAAACTACCACATCAAAATATCTGATTTGGAGACAGACTTTTAAAGCCTGTCTCCTTTTGCTACCTACAATTTTATACATGTAACGAGGCTTCTGTTGCGTAGCTAGATATTCTGTGCTATTAGCAAAGAATATTATAGTTAACACAATAGAAAACCCATCCCGTGTTAAATTTTTGGAACCAAAAAGGCGCCCGGCTTTTTGAGCCGGGATCCATCGAGGCGCCGCGCCGCGCCGCAACGTTAAAAAGCGATTCCTTCCTTGTCTATGTTGCCAAATCGTGTACGCCAAATGCTACGGGTACACGCGGCGGCCCGACGGCGATCATCAAAGCCTTCCGTATTCCCCCGCAACTCGTTGTATTACGATTGCAGACTATAAAGGAGGGACAATCCTAATTTAAAAATGTTTAGGTTCCCATATAAAAATCCAAGTAGATGCGAACGTTGGATTTTAAATTTGGGTAAGCAGAAGGCGCGACTGAATATTATGCTGGATATCTTTTAAAAAAATGCAAGATAAGTTTATCGTGCATATTTTTTAAGGAAAAAGAATATTTTTCCAAAGCTGCCTTTCAAAAAATGATATTTTGTCACATTAAGTTTGGGAGGCGCATAAAATCTATTATACTATAATAATCTAGTTCACGAAAATATGGAATTTTATGTTAGTTGGTTAGTATCACAAATTATTATTGACGATAAGCTTCGTAAAAAGCTTAAAAATATAATAATTTTTAAATTATTAACGTTCGGGTTTATCTTTGATTGATAGTTGGTCTATGTCCACGAAATATTGGAACTCCATGTATATTTTGTAGGTCTGCTTTGGAAAAATAAACTCTTCGAAAAATTTTTTCATAAAAACTATGCGATGTGGTGTTTTTTACAAGAGACAGAAAATGTAGTAAATGCTTTTTCTTGAAATTTGTAAAAACCAAATGTTAGAGCACTTAACAAAACATAGACACCCAAAATCTCATTCAAAACGGAATAACAGTTCTTAGAATATTTGAAAAAATGTGTTTATTTTTTTATAGTTTAATGCCCTTTAGCGGACAAACGAAGCACTTTTGTACAGACGTAAATTGTGTCCAATGAACTTATTTTGATTTCAAAAATACGTAATAGTTCTATGTCCACGGAATATTGGGACATCCTGTATAATGATGATCGTAGCCCTTAATAAATGTTTATAGTTCTATTGAAAACTGGTAAATTTTGCATTGAAAAATGCGTTGATTTCGCAAATAACAAAGTCAATGAAGAAATGTCAAAAAATTGACGCCAGTGGCATAATTTGCTATCATTTTTCCATGAATAATTTGTTTTAGCTTAGTACCAATCACTAAACCTAAAATACTTTAACACAGTATTGCCAACTAATTCAATCAATATTGACCGCTTCGTATTATTATCATTATTATTTTAGAATATACTGGGTGAAAGAAATTTGAGAAAGTTATCTTGTAAGATGTATTTGATAGCATCCTGATAGTGTGTCTTGTCTAAAATATCAAAAAAGAAGAAAGAATTTATTGGGCAAGATTAGTCATGAGGCATGAGTAAAACATGACTACCCGTAGCATCAATACGGGAGGAGTCAGCACAGGGCCTATTTTACCATAAGGCCCGGGCCTTGGGCCCGGTGGTCTGGGGGGCCCGCTAAAGGTTGTAAAATATTCATAATTTCTTGAATTTTTGAATTTTATTGGAAAAGAGGGCCCGAATTTTGCTTGGGCCTTAGGGCCCGACCAGATGAAAAATAGACCCTGAATCAGCAACGATGAACTAGTGATCCTGAAAAAAGAAAAAGGGAAGCAAACGAGGCACAAGGCACCATATTGATGAAGCCGGAAGGCATAAACACTGAGTAGTGTCTACGGGTAGTCATGTTTTATTCATGTCTCATGACTAATCTTACTGTAGGTTTGCCCAATAAATTCTTTCTTATTGTTTATTACAGTCACCACGATAACATCTTTTGTTTAAAATATTATCCTGATTGCTAGTTTTTAAATTACTACCCTTTATTGTACTATTGATAATGCAACTAAAAAAATATATTTTCCAGGTTCCTCGGACTTTTCGAATTACAAACCGTCTGGATTTGGAATCTGGAACTCCAACCAAGAAAATTCCTTTTCATCCTTTAAATTCGAATCGAATGCTGTTCACCACATCACACCGGATTTCAGCGATGGATTATGTAGTGTAGCTTATTTTTGAATATAAATTTATGTTAAGATTTTTTTAAATTTTAGCTTATCCAGATCCACTTCTTTTAACAGGACAACGGGCCAAAAATGCTGCTTCGTATTTGTACAAGAAAGAGCTGTTCTTTCACGAAATTCCACATGTGAATTCGCTTCTCCAATATCAGGATGTCAGAAAAAGAAATGGATTGGTTCCCGTTAAATTGGGATCATTAAGATTGGCATCGCCTTGGAATAGGTTTAAGGAGCATTTATCAAATCATTTTTATGTATAAATATGTAGTATAAGTATTTTTAGATATATTTTGCCCTATTTATTATAAATATTGTTAATTTTTGTAACATAAACATATATGTACTGAATATCGAATATAGGAAACCTTCTATAGACTCCTTACTTCTTATTTATAATGTTAATCTACACTCAGATGCAAAAGTAACGCAACATAAAATATTTTCGTCAAATTTAAAGTGTTATATTTTTTTATTTTTAGCCCTATTTTCTTTCCTGAAATATTATTTTTCGTTCAGAACCATGACTCCTGAGCATTTTGTTTTTTAATTCATATCAACACATGCCTTGGTTAATTTTTAAGAGCAAAATGAACTTGCCACCGACGATTTTAATTTTTTTCAATTATCATTACATTTTTATGTTAATTTTTAATATGACGAGATGACTTTGGTGACTAATGTCGTAATGTTATATTGACAGTGACATCTGATGCGTTTGCGATTCGACGAACTGTTAATACACTTACATTCTTCTCACTCACAACTCACAACCTCCTGATACCAACGTATTGTTTATTCTGTTTGCAAGTTTGCACCGTTCTTAAGAGTCTATTACGCTGTACTTTCGGGTCGCTCTCAGGGATCGGGTAAAGTGGGTGTGTGGCCGAAGGAAATATACAGGGTGGCGCATTCGCCTCGGTTGATTATACGAAAACGGAAAGATGTAGAAACAACAACAATACAAACAAACAAATAATAAATACCCATAAAATAAAATTTATGGGTATATGTGGGTATACTTCTTTATTTTTCTTGATAAAATAATAAATACTTACTCATTAAACTATTGTAGGTAAATTAAATAAAAGTAAACTGTTATAAATTTAAATAAAGTCCATAAACTAATGTCGATTTTGAAAACATCTACTAACTGTCACTAGCAAATTGCCATGGCGACACCAGCCATCTTGATTGCCATTTTATTGAAAAATCGCTTTTTATTCAAAATTTGAGCTAGATAGGTATTGGAAACCCTAATACAGTCTGACAGAGCATTTAAATCTGCTTCGATTTATTTTAAAAAATACAGGGTATTAACAAGTTTTTATTTAAAATAGACCAGCAATTTTTGTTTATATTTAAGGCAGCAATACATTTTTTTAGTAAAGTTTATTTCCCTGGCCTCAAAGTCAGCACTAGAAATAACTCTGAAAAGTAATGTACAGGGTGTTGACAAACTTTTTTATTATAGCATGCATATTTAAATATCTCTAAATATCTCAAAACCCAAAGCATTTAAACATATTAAGCCCTTATAATAAATTCCTTATTTTATACCGAAGAATCCAAAAATAAAATAAAATACCGGGTGTTCCATAAGAAAAAATATGACTTTGGTATAGATCTTAGTTCTGACACACCCTGTACATTTGAAAATAATTTTAAATTATGTACATTGCCTTTCTACATATACCCATAAAAAATTATGTTTCTACATTTTTCCGTTTTCGTATAATCAACCGAGGCGAATGAGGTGCGTCACCCTGTATATTATATTTCAGAAATCTGCCTAAAGGTGCGTATTCATTATCCGAACGAACGAACGAACGAACGAACGAACGAATGAAAATGCGGTATATTTAGACGGGGACCGAACGCATGCGGCCGTTCGTTCGGTCGTGCGCTCGACCATCCGCTTCGAGTCGGTACATCAAAGGCGTTCGCCTGCGTGCGCTTTCAGATTTAAGGTGCGTATTCATTATCCGAACGAACGAACGAACGAATGAAAGTGCGGTATATTTAGACGGGGACCGAACGCATGCGGCCGTTCGTTCATTCGTGCGCTCGACCATCCGCTTCGAGTCGGTACATCAAAGGCGTTTAGACGTCATGGTACAAAGAATACAAGGTATGATCGATAGCGGCTCCAATTTCGTTCAGTTCGCGCATACCACCTGTGACGTCACTAGGAAAATAATGAATAAATAAAAAATAAAGAAAGTTGACAGGAGATCTGCAATTTTTGGGGTTATGGTTAAGAATTGTTTATTTTAAGACTTTTTAGTTCGTTTAATTTAATAATTACTAAAACCAGCAGTTCCAAAAATATATTTAAAAATAATAATTATCTATTAACATGGATTTGGACGATAGGTAAGAATACTGAATTTATTTCTATATTCGGTATAAAATTGTTTATTAGGTTTTTAGTTTGCGATGTTTATGGTAAATAATTTTCATTTTCATTGCCTCTGAATTCACATGAGGACAGAGTTGAGGATATCTATGGAAAAGTAACCACAAGAGGAATTGTTACATCATTTAAAAAATATTGGGAAGTTTATTGTTTCCCATCGAAAAGTAGAAAATGCCAATGCAGATGAACGTATTGTAATTGTGATAGAAGTAATTCTAAGGGTGAAGTTTATTATAATTAGTGGAAGTAATACCAAGGGTGAAGTTTATTATAATTAGTGACCTCTGCTTCTTTTTATATGTAGAAGTTTCTGGTTTTGAGAATAAATCGGTTGAACGACACCCAAAATTTAAAGGAAGTATTTGCATACCCAGAATATGCCCATCAAGGATTATATAGCTCAAATTTCCTTTAATGGTAGGCAATTATTCAATGCAAATTAACTTTTTAAGTGACTAAAATATTAAATAGTTTACAATATGGTATATCACTAAAAATATATTACTTTTAGGTACAATTAGGGCCCGATACATTTCAAAAAGTAGAATATTATTTTATATTAAATGAGGTATTGTACTAACAATCAATTTATATTAATAACGGAGATTAAAAAATAACAGAATAAATAGTTCTTTTTCTTATACTTCAAAAATAAACTATAGAATACAACAGTATTTAAAAAAAAATAAAAAGTGATGTTCCGGCCGAGATTCGAACTCCGGTCTCTCGCTTCCTAGCCCGACTCCTTATGCACTGCTCCATAGTAACTTGCTATATGTGATATCAACTGTTTCGAGATTTTAAATAAATACTGAAGACTAGTATAAGAGTCTCGGGTAACCAAAAATCGAAGAGTGATAGCAAGTCGTTCTGCTGCAGGTATTGCTCTTCGAAACATTGTATTTTGTTTAGAGATTTTATGTTGAATTCTATTTAATAACCACTGAAAATCGTCATATGAAATTCTGCAAAAGTTGTGAAAATGTCGATGATCATCTGTTCTAAGGTCTTCTAGAATATCCACTCCACGATATCTTAATCTGCTTTGGTATAATCGCCTTTCCAAAAACGTTTTTTCGCCGTTGTTTTTTGAAAGCAATTTTATTACTACATAACAGGCGCTAATTATTATTATTTCTTCGTCGCGATCCATAGCACTATTACCTCGATAGTATTGGCGAATGGTGAATCCACGGAAATTCGACAAGAAATGCGTGCGGTCTTCTCGTGCGGTTCTATCGTGCGGTCCCCGTCCATACCACTAGCGAACATTCGTTCGTTAGTTCGTTCGTTCGTGCGGATAATGAATACGCACCTTAAGGCTTAGCCCGATCCTGTCGTGTTAAGCCACACCCAAAATTCCAAACACACGTGCTTTGATTAAGGCTTGATTAAGGTTTGCAGAGCTTGAGCTTTTGCTATAAAATAGCTAGCAATTTGTTACAAAACCATATACATGATTTATCACTGTAATCACAAAACTTCAATCTATTTCCGTATTGTAACGGAATTTTAATTTATGTCTTTATTTTCGAGAAAATTTAGTCCAAACATAAGGTATATTTTGTTGATGTTTGACCAAGAACGGTAAACTAATAGGATTGCTCATCCTCATAAAACGTACGTTCGCTTCTTCCCGCGCTTCAGCTGACAGTTGTGACGTCATTGTAGTCCTTCTCATGAGAGTGTGTATTATTAGTTGCCTATGGTAAACTTATAAAAATAACAGCTGAGAAATTTTTAGTTAATTATTTTGTCAATTTTAAATGTAAAAAAGGTGTTTTTAAAGTTTTTAGAGCTATAGAGTGTATAAATACGTTCATTTTGTGTTGTGGATTGTGACAAAGTGCTTACTAAGTGCCTACGATATTGTTTATTAATTATTTTAAAGCAAAATATGGAAGTACTCTAAAAAGAATGCCTGCAAAAGGTGATGCTGAGAACTGCTGTTCTTAAAAATGCATAATCCGAGTATTTAATACGATTTATATAGTTAATTTTCTATACTGCATACATATAAGCTGTTTAAATAAATAAACTAAATAATGAACGTTTTGCATCCGGCAACCAATAATGCACGTGTGTGTATTATTGGTTGCCGGATAAGGATTAATAACCATGACAAGGACTACAATGACGTCACAAACACAAAGCGAAGAGTTTTCGCATGCACCTGGCGGACACTTTTGGCTGAATGAGCAGACCTATTAGGTTAACTGTTCTTGATATTTGACTATCAAAACCTTAAAAATAAAGAAGTTATCTAAAATGTGCTACGATACGGATAGAGTATAATCCTTTATCTTTAATTTCCTTCTTCATTTGTGTGAAAACACAGTTTTACATAAAACGTTAAATGCCGAACGCTTATTTTGCTACTTTTTCGGACTAATGAAATGGACTCTTAAATGACGATCCTGCAGAGTGTTGATTCTGATAAATCGATCGTCTAGACCGGTAGATTTGAGCGTTCCTACAGTTCCTACTCCTACCACTACCACCTTTAAGGTCGATTCTAACTGTACCTTCCGTGTCCATTCCATATCCGTTCCGTATTTTTGATTGTATTCGCGCAACAGTTCCATACTTTGAAAGGTTTTATGTTTAAAAATGTGTATCTTTTGAAAAAGGTAATATATTTAATTAAGAGGTGAAAGAATAAATAAATGTCAGCAAAATGTTAACACACCATATGTAGGAAGTTGACAACGCTGTTTCCGATATGTTTCAGTCCTTCCGCCAAAAAAATGTATGGAAGGAAAGGATACGGAACGGAAGGGAAACGGAACGGATAGTGCATTGTCCTATTCATAACAACTCTTCAATCGTTTTATTTTTCATTCTGTATTTTATCTTCAATCGTTTAAATTTCACTAGAAGATCTACTAAACTTAATTATTACTAATTAAATAATATAAAACATAAAAAATACAGATAAAATACAGAATAATTTGATATAGTTATAAAATTATTAGGTGTAACAGTAAGACAAGATATTAAATAAAAGAAACTTATTAGGTAGATATACATATATTTAGGTTCATAAATCTTTAAAAATTCAGTCTAAAATATAAATATTGTCGCTATTAGTATTGCACAAATAAGTGAATAATTAACGGTGACATGATGGGAATTATTGCATAAATCGCCTTTGCAAAAACACATTAAAACCTTTCTGTAATTCCATTTCGTATAGGCGCACCTATCTTCGCTGTCTGAAGGTCCTCTTTGTAGACAAATTCTTTGGGTTGCCACACCATATTCTAGAAAAGAACACATAGTATACAGGGTGCTACAAATTCGAGGTACGAGCATTGGTAACTCGGTAACCGTCATAGATACGAACATGGATAAATTGGGGCAAAGTTGCGCTTTGGGATGTTCACCAAGATGCCACCAAAAAGTTTTAAAAATTTCAAGGATTGCTGAGTTTTTTGGAAAAAACGGATATTTTTGAAAATCAATTTAATTTTTTTCTGTCGTCACTTTTTAGAAAATCAAAAAACTAATTGCACATTCTCATAGCCACTTTATTAGGGCTATCTGACAGAATTTTTAGATTTTCAAATCAGCTGATAATTTGTGTGATAGTAGAGAGGCCAACTTAATTTTTTTAAATACGGACCTGCATTTTTTATTTCAGATTTTCAAAGAACTCGCTCTCCTGAGTACAATGATATGCCACACTTAATATATTTTTTCTTTTGGAAATTTGGACACAATTTATTTAAACTAATATCAAGTCCGTTACAATATTGATAAGCTTTCAAACTTAACAGTGACGTGGGTTGAATACGGAAAATCAAATGCAATAAAATAATAAAAAATAATATTAATAAAATGTAATATAAACAATCAAATTATTTCCCCGGAAGATGGATTGGAAATGGTAGAGCAGTATAATGGCCAGCGAGGTTCCTGGACCGTCTGATGACGTCAAGTAATTCGATAGGTCCAAATTTTACAAAAAGGTGAAATCAATAACACATCTCGGCAGTTACAATAAAGAGTACAAAATACATTCGAAAGTATAAGAAGAAGATCCATTCAAAAGCTGTAAATAAAATTGAACAAAAAATTAATTTGTGCAATAGGGAGGGTGGTAACCCTTTCGAACATGTAGACTATGTAGAGCATTAGAAACTAGTTTGTAGAAGTTAATTTATTCATAATAACTATATACGATTAATATTATGCAAATTATTAGATCGTACACTGAGAATTTCAAATTCACAATAAGAAGAGTTAAAAATAATATCTTTAAATTATTAAATTGCTGATCTGGATATTATTTAATTGAATCTTTCAATTGGCTCAATTTTCCTTATTCAATGTTGATTAGCACTAATCATTATTGTTGCGATGAATATAATCAGATTAAATAATTTAAAAAACAGAGTCGGACTTGAAATTTTTTTAAATAATAATTAAATAGTTTTGTTGCTGTTAAGGTGCCCAAAACAAAAAAAAAGTATAAAGTGTGGCACATCATTGTACTCAGGACACCGAGTTCTTTCAAAATCTGAAATAAAAAATGCAGGTCCGTATTAAAAAAATTAAGTTGGCCTCTGTATCTCACAAATTATCAGCAAATTTGAAAATCTAAAAATACTATCAGATATCCCTAATAAAGTGGCTATGAGAATGTGCAATTAGTTTTTTGATTTTCTAAAAAGTAACGACAGGAAAAAATAAAATTAGTTTTCAAGAAAATCCGTTTTTTCCAAAAAACTCAGCAATCCTTGAAATGTTTAAAACTTTTTGATGGCATCTTGGTGAACAGGCCAAGGCGCAACTTTGCCCCAATTTAACCATCTTCGTATCTATTACGATTTCCGAGATACCAATGCTCGTACCTCGAATTTGTAGCACCCTGTATAATAAAAATCAAAGGAAGAATCATATAGATATCAGATTAAATAATATAACTGAAAAAATAAGACTTAGATTATTTTGATATAATTTTCCACTTTTATTTTATTTATATATTAATTATATAAATATTTATACAGGGTGGCGCATCTCATTCGCCTCGGTTGGTTATACGAAAACGAAAAGTGTATGTGGGGAAGCAAAGTGAACAATTTAAAAATTATTTTGAAATATACAGCTTGTTTCAGTACTAAGATCCATACCAAAGTTATATTTTTTCTCATGGAACACCCAATATTTTATTTAATTTTTGGATTTTGGACCTACAGGCATTTAATATAAGGGTTAAATAAGCTTAAAATGTTTAGTTTATGAGATATTTAAATATGCATGTTATAATAGAATTGATTAATATCAACACCCTGTACATTACTGTTCAGAATTAATTCTTGTGCTGAGTTTAAAGGTAGAGAAATAAACTAACTTTACTGAAAAATTTTATTTGTTCCTTCAATTTATGCAGGAAGACCAAAAATTGCTGATCTATTATTTTAAATACCTATTTTACATAAAAACTTCGTTATTTCAAATGCAACACTCTCTATTTTTTTTAAATAAATCCAAGCAGAATCAAATGCTCTTTCAAACTATAGTAGGATCTCTAGATTAGTATAGGACACCCTAAAATAATTTGAAAGTGCATTTAAATCAGACGAAAAAAAAGCAGAAAAACGAGCAGTTCTTGATACCTCTGTATTTATTAAACGAAACAATCAAATTTTTCAGTAAAGTTTATATCACTGGCTTAAAAATCAGCACAAGAACTAATTCTGAAAAGTAATCTAAAAGGTGTTGACAATATTTTTTATTATATAGCATGCATATATTTAAATATATCTTTAAATATCTCAAAAAATAAATCTTGTGAACATAAAACCCTTATAGTAAATACCTTTATTTTGTGTCCAAGGATCCAAAAATTAAATAAAATACCGGGTGTAAAATACCATAAAAGTAAAAATCTAATTTTGGTGTGGATCTTTTAGCTCTGACATACCCTGTACTCTGTACATTTTAAATTAATTTTAAATTATGCACATTGTCTTCCCACATATAGCCATGACATATTTTGTTTCTACATCTGTCAATTTTCATATCACGAACCGAGGCGAATGAGGTGCGCCCACCCTGTATATTACACATCTATTTTATTCCCTTGTTAAAAAAATCATTACTTATACTTTTACTGTAATTACCTATAAGTATGTATATTATGGTAATAAAGCTTATTTATATATTTATTATAGGCTTCTTATATTAACAGAGTCCATTCCTAGATAGTTTTATTTTAATTAAATCATTTTAATAATTAATAATTTTTATTTATAAGTAAATGTTAATTTTACCTTCTTTTAGTGCGTTTTCAGTTTCAACAATTTTTCCACACCATCCTGATGGACAAGGAGCTGTTTCAACCCCTATTTCTTGTTTGCTTTCGACTAAAGTCACGTTAACAGTAAATGGGTCTTTACAACTACCCAACTCTCCCCTAGATCTGCACGTAAAACATCTTTGGAGTGCTAAAAATTTAATTTGTGATTAAAATATTACTAAAGAAATATAAACAAACGTTAAATATATTAATTAATAAAATAGTATAACCCGAATAATTTTTAATAATAGAAATTACTTATTAAAAAGAAACAAATAAAACATTGCTTATGTTAGACTTCAACATCTGATTAGACCATTAACCTTTCAAAGAAATGGTGAAGAATATAAAAAAAAATCGTATCTTACCAGTTGTCAGATTAATTTGAAATAAATATATCACTAAAATAGAAAGAAAACGTATTTTAATAAACATTTTTAAAGAAACTATTCGTCGACATTCTTCAAGGAGACATATTTACTTCTTTGCCACTTTCACTTCTCTAGCATTTGGTTACCTTGTGAAGAGTATCGTGATTCATTATTTTTTTAGCGCGTAATCCTCAATATATTTTACCTCTTTAAGTACATCTATAAAAAATGATTAATTCTAATATAAGATAAATTGTATATTTTTCATTTAATGATAAATTTACAAACATTGATAATGAAATCTAAAAGAAAATATGTTTCAAATATCCCGCGTAACAAATTATGCTACGTATATCGGTGGCGTACTGCGCTTGCTCCGTTGATAACGTTCGTCATTGTTCTGAGGGTGTTTGTAATTAATGCTATTTACAATAACGAGATTTACTTTTTAGGGCGGTTTACAGTTTTATATCTTTATTAACCACATTGATTTTTTAAAGTTATTCAAAGTTTGAAACACAGGTTTGAAATTAAAATTGATTCAAATTAGTTCCTATGTTGTCATATCTCCAAAAAATACTGAGCAGGTATCAGGAAAAGAATAAATACTAAATAGAAAATTTAATTTTATTTTATATATATTACATATAGAAAAAAAAACAATATAATTATTATATGTTACTTAAAAAGAAACAACTGTTTTATATAAACTATGCAAATTTCAATTTTAAACTCCCCGTGTAACATCTTATTAACTAGTTGTGGCAACATTGCTTATCATTCAAACGTATGCTTTTATTTGGAAACGACTTGCGCAACGCAAAACAAAACAAAATAAATATTCTTGAAAATTTGATAATCAATTTGCTATTGTAAACAACAGAAAAACAGGTAAGTTTTTAACCCTTTTAATAGTTGTAATTAATAAAAGGTGTTCATCAATCCCAATAAAAATTATATTCCGGGTTAAAATGGAATTTTATTTTAAATCTTGTGATTTGCGCAAGCGTAGAATTACCCATAATCCACTCCAATCGACGTTAATATGGCGGATGGAATCAAATATTTCTAAATAAACTTGGAAATTTTAAAATATAGAGTTTAAAACAATTGCGTTGTGATATATACCAGGTAAAATTAAATCCTAAAATATTATATCTGTACTTTGCAGATTTTATTATTGTTTAGTACTACAAAAAAACTGTTAAATCTTGATTTTTCGACTATCTATATTTAAATTTGAAAATGGTGTTATGCCAAATTCAAATTTTTACGTGCGACTTTTTTGTATTTTTTATGTAAAACAATAATTGTTTTATTATAATTGCCTATGAATGTTTTTGTTCACTAGGTTAATCGTTCTTATTGTTTATTTAGTTGGTATATTTCATTTTTATTGTAAAATTGTTAGGTTATTTCTATCTATTGTTTATAATTGTTTAGATTAGATATAAAGACGCAATGAAGACCGAATATCAAATTCAGGTGAAAGAGGAGATTTTGGATGATTTGGAAGAAATGGATTGTAGCGATCAAATGATGGCTGATGATGATCCAAATACATTAGGACCTGCTGCGTTAGGTCTACAAAGAGTCGGTAGTCAGCCACCACAGAAACTTTCCCCAGCACCACCTGTACAGGTCCTAAATGCTCGCGGTATGCCTGCTAGAATTCGAAAGAAGAATAAATTATTTTTTGATGATGAACTTGTAAATACACCACATCATAGGTAATTATTAGTTAAGCAGTTATAGCACTAGAATAGTAGTATTACTAATAGAGATTTAATTAGGACTCCTAATGCTAAAAAGCAGAAGCCAACTCCAACCAAAAGGACACCGAAAGTTAAAAATGAAACTCCAGGAAAAAGTCCTAAAAGGGTTACAAGTAATAATGTTCCAGTTCCGCAAAGGATGAGTTCTCCAGATAGGAAAATAGGGCAAAAAATTGGTATGAGATTGAGAAATCTATTAAAGTTACCGAAAGCTCACAAATGGGTTTGTTACGAATGGTTTTACAGTAACATTGATAGGTAAGATCAAATTATATTAAAAATTGTAGTAGCTTAATTCTAAGTAATAATTCCTATTCTAGATGTTTATTTTCTGGTGAAAACGATTTTCAAATTTGTCTTAAAGAATCGTTTCCCGAGTTAAAAACACGTGAACTGTCAAGAAGAGAGTGGACAAAGATACGTAGAATGATGGGCAAACCTCGACGGTGTTCTCAAGCGTTTTTTAATGAAGAACGTTTGGAATTAGAAAAGAAAAGGAAAAAAGTTAGAGCTCTGCAACAGAGAAAAGCTACAGATTTGACTAATTTTAGAGATTTACCATCAGAAATTCCTATACAGTTGGTCATTGGTACAAAAGTAACAGCCAGGTAATCATATAATTAAATACATGCAAAAGGCTGTGTAATTTTTTTTTATTGGAACGACAACAAAGCAAAATTTATATAATAAAGAAATCATATAGCTCAATAAAAAAAATCCTACTAATTGCATATGTATGTTAATATTATTTATAGATTACGCGATCCTCCGTCCGATGGTCTTTATACTGGCAGTATAGACGCTGTTGACACATCAAATAATACTTATCGTGTGACTTTTGAAAGACACGGATTAGGAACACACTCGGTACCAGATTACGAAGTTTTATCTAATGAACCAATCGAAACAATAACAATATCGAGCTTTCACAGTAAGTTCCGAACAAGAAATAATGGCTTTTCACCATTTCCAGGCGATATAAAGAGCCCTATATTTAAACCTCTATGTTATAAGAAAGATCCACTGTTATCAGGTATGTTCAAAACATTGTTTCTTTTATTTTTGCAAAATATTTTTTATTGAAGGGTCAATGGTTAATCAGCCGATGATGTTCCAAACTACTACTCACGGTAGACTGGGTAGATTCCCTGCGAAACTAATAGAAAAAATTGTTATCGTTACAAAAATTCTGAATGTGAAAAAGAACAAAGTGAAACAGTTGAAAAGTATGAATTCTGAAGCGGAAAAATTGGATTCCTTTGATCAGGAATTGCCGGAAGACTTTGAGAGGCGATATGCAAGCATTTTGATAGATTTGGAAAAGCTGAATACAGATTTGCAGTTATATTTAGATGATATACAAGTAAGTAAATTATGTATATGTATCTTATACTTAAAAAAAACTACTTAAAAAAGATTGTGTCTGTTCTATGGGCGCATATTTGAAGTGAAACTTCTTACTAACAGTTATTAAATTGAAGGATTTGAAGGACATATTTGAAAAGGTGTAGTTGTTGGTGTAAAATGTTGAAAAAGTAATAATTTAAAAAATATTTTTTTACACGTAAAAAGCAGTTTTTTACGTATAAGAAATAGTTTTTTTAAAAAAATTGTGTAACAAATAGCTTTATATGCGTAAAATAAAAAAAATAAGCAACAAGATAGATTTTGTACATGTAACAAATAATAATTTTTTACGTGTAACAAATAGTTTTTTACACATAATAATTTCATTCACTTTCACAAAATTTGTATTAAAATATCATTATTTTTGTATTAAAATATCATTGGCCCCTTGATATTTTTAATATCATCAAATTTGTCGTGATTTTATAAAATAAAACATACATTGTTTATTGTTTCAACAAAAATATTCAGGGTGAGTCTTTAAAGTCGCGTCCAAGCTACTCGAACAAAACGTTCGCGAACATATATAATTAGCACTATATACTCGTAGCAGCAGGTCGTAAACGACGGCACAGCCCATCGCATCGATCCCGAGGACTGAGGTGCGGGGAAGAATGCGACAACCAGTTTGCTCTATAGATCTAGGATGCGTTTAGGTAGTCGCCGTTTTTTCGAGTGCCTGGATTTCGAGTGCAAGCATTTTATTAAATAAATTAACCGGTAAACAGTTTAAGAACTTTTGTCGTTGAAGAATCAATATTTAGCAGGCGGAGGGTTACAGGGGTCTTTTGGTAGATTATTCGTTATAGTGTATTTTTAAGACCTGTATTCATTTTCAGCCGATCTACCAGGTATTTCTCAAAAGGGGCTCACTTTTTTATTTTTTCAGATAATACAACGAAATTTGGTTTGTTAGTATATGACATAAATCGGGATTGATTGGCGTATTCAATTACCTTCGGTCGCCTCCTGTTTCACCGGAAATGACTACAACTTTGTATTTTTAGATTGTATCCTAAGTACTTTTTTACTTTATTCGATAGAAAATGATATTCTGAATAGAATGACATACCATGCGTCAATTTTAGACAATTCCGATTAAATAAAAATAGCGTTTTAAATTTCAGTCTAGAGTGCCAAGACTGAGTTAAAACTATTAATTTGTAATCAAAGAACTTTGGAAACATATATTTGATTGTGTAATTTTTTTTTCGTATCCTTTCATGACCGCTTAAAAGATGCCCAAATCGTATTTTTAATAAATTCATATTATTCAAATGGTACGAGGCTGGCTCAGCATATTTGGAAAAAGCATTTTTACGAATAATTTGGTACCACATACTTGGTATTTGGAGTAAAATTGTCGTTACGTTTATTTATGGCCATTTTTAAATTGAAAATGTCAAAAGTTGACATATAATATATCATTCTATTTAGAATGTCATTTTCTATCATATACGGTAAAAAATACCGAGGGTACCATTTAAATCAAAAGTTGTTGTCATTTCCGGTGAAATAGGTGGTGACCGAAAATAAATGAAAACGTCGATCAATCCTGATTTATGTCCTATATTAACATACCAAATCTCGTTTTTTATCTAAAAAATTAAAAAAGTTATAGAAGTGAACCACTTTTCAGAAACACCCGGTATATTTATTTCTAAAAATGTAATGGTAAAATTTCATTTCTGGTGTCAAACTTCCTATTAAGTAGTAATTTAATCCCATAATAATTCCGATTTTTAATAAATATAATCATAAAGGTCTTTATTAACAAAAAATGAATTTATATGGACGAAGTCTAGCTACATAGCTATACACACTCAACCCAAAATAAAATGAAAATTATAAAATATTTTCTTTGTCTAAACAAATTAGTTGTAAATGTTTTTCACGATCCCATCAATAACTGCGTCTCCCATTGTCGAATACTCGGTAAAAAATAAAAATCACAGATGGACGCCCGAAATTAAATGAGACCCTTCCAAGTGTCCGGTACAATGTCCGCCGAAATGCACGCCGTTCGCTCCTTTTGATTTACCGACACCCGTCGGAAAACAAACGCGCGCGCTCTAGCATAGGCAGACGCACGCTGTGGCGTACAAGCTAGCCGTTCGGCGCTCCGCGCTCCTTAATAGGCCTATCTCACAATTTTCACTTAGTATCTGTTTAATAATATATGTTTGCGAACATTTTGTTCGAGTAGCTTGGACGCGGCTTTTTAAGAGTAATATATTTTGATCCCAGAAACACGTCTACTATATGAACTTTTTTTCGCGAATTTTTTTTTAAAATTTGGAATTTTTTGAAACATTTTTTGGACTTTTTTTAGTTTTTAGTTAAAAAACATAATTTCTTGATAATATGGCAACATAGGTAAAGTTTCAATAGTTCTCAAAATTTAATCAAAAAATAATTTTTTTTTAATTTTAAAGTAAAACCAAACCAAACCAAACTCAGTTATTTTGGATTTATTTGAAAAACGGTAAAGAGAACATATGTTTCTTTTATCGAGATCTATATATGCACTTTTTTAAGACTCACCCAAAAAATTATTTTATATTTAGTTTTTTACTCGGCGGGCCCCGAAAAAATATCTTGCACTGTGTGCATTGATTTTACCCTGAAGTGACTTTAATTTTTTTAAGCGAAAACTATGCTTCAGACGAGGAAAAGAGATAAAAATTGTTTAGAAATGAAGGAAGATTTTGAAAGTAATGTATATTTTAAGAGAAGTCAGTGGTGTCCCATTTTTTTCTTCAAAAATATTCAATGTAAAACCCATATGGATCACTGGTTGATTTTAGACTACAATATTATAATGCGTCAAATGAATTTTCTTATAGTTTTTATTGTGTGAAATAAATAATAACAGTTTTTGCCAGCCACTCTATTTTTTACTGTCATTTTAATCTGTCTATTTTTAGGTATATTGTCAAGAAATTGCTCCTGAACCTAGTGTCGCTGCAATGCTGGCCCCATCTCATCTCAGAGAGAAATGTAGGGAAGAAGCAAAGGATATAGTCGACAAACAAAATTCAGTCAGTTCTGGGGATAAAAGTGAGACCCTCCACATAAATTCTTGTATATATTTTTGACATGTTATGACATTTTTCAGAGGCCTGCGAAAATCCAGCTATTCTAGAGTTAATCACCGATCTCACGGCGCTCATGCTGCAAATCAAAAGTTTAGCAGATAACGATCACAACGCTTACGAACTTCAAGTTTTAGAAGGTATATTTTTATTGAAAGACTCGTCTATACATAAAGTTTTACTTGTCAATCTTACCTATTCAGTCGGACCAGAACCGTTCTGGTTCCCAAGTGGTAACTAATTTAAGGCAGAACTCAAGAATCTGAAAGACTATCCGTAACCTGGAATGGGAATCATCCGGTATTTTTTATTTTATTCGTGAAAAAATAAAATTATTAGTGAAATGGGTATATAAATCTTCTGAAGAAATTTGCATAAGTCGCTCAGTTAGCTGTGCTCAAGCGTAGTGCGCAAGCCTGGATTTTGAATTATCGATGGGATAACCAGACCAATAAGAGACTAGATGTAAGCACCAGCTGTTGATTCGTACGGCTCCGGCCAACATCGTACGGCTTTCGTTTGCGTTCCCGCTCGACAATTGGCTAATTCTCAGAGTAAGGGCTAATATATATATATATAAATATATATATTCGGAATTTTGGAGTAGCGCTGTTGTGCCAGTATCTGCCTAACAGACGAACTTATGTGACATATACATGAACAGAGGATCTCGTTGTCTCTAACTCGGCTTCAACTCTAACACATTGCAGGGATAGACGATAATCCGTATATATTTGATATGTATATGGTCATCCTTTTCTGAGTATCATTTTCTATCGAATAAAGTAAAAAAATACCGAGGGTGCCATTTAAAAATCAAAAGTTGTAGTCATTTCTTGTAAAACCGGAAGTGACCGAAAACAATTGAATATGTCAATCAATCCTAATTTATGTCATACACTAACATACCCATAGACTTAAAATAAAATATAGACTACACTATTTACATCTCAACGCGGACAAACAACCTTTTTTGTACACATGTTTACTTCTGGGTACAGTCGACCGAGCCTTCCTCATCCAGCCTATGTTGTCACGTCTTTAATATTATCAATATTTTTTTTCTTGTTATGCACATATATTGAGATATTAATACTACAGTTTAATAAAGTAGGTTTTAATATTCCATAGATGTATTAAATAGTCCTTATACTACTAAATTATAAGTCGGATACTGTTTAATAAGGATAAGTTCTTTACAATATGACAACACCGATTAGAGGCGAGGGAGCCTATTCATTCATTTATTACCTTAGTAGTACGTGTCGCACGTGTGCGGTAAAGCTTTGTTGCCGCTATCTCCCCGGCTGTATTAACGCATTTTCTTAGCTTGTAGTCCTTAAGTGTTTATTTTATTGACTTTTTCTGTTTGGTTCGCCAGTGCCAAATTTGCAAGAAATTTGACTTAAATAATCCATTTAAGTCTTGAAACGACTTTTGACCGGTAGGCAACTCTCAATTTACCCATTGGCAGTCAGTGGCGTTGTTGTAGAAAGGCGCTTATTTAGATAATATTTTAGTAAAATGTAAAATCTGAATTTTTTCTTTTACATTACATTATTTATTTACTTACATAGTAACAAAATCATAATTATAATCTGTTAATAATTAATAATGTTTTTATTAAAAATATATTCCGGTTTATTCTAAAATTATCTTCAGAATCTAAAGTAACATACAAGAATTTTAAAATGATATTACATTATGAAACAATATTTTTTAATATACCGGGTCGTCTCAAAAGTGGCTCAACCCTATAACTTTTTTTATTTTTTCAGATAAAAAAACAGATTTGTATGTTAGTAGGTATATGACATAAATTAGGATTTATTGACGTATTGAATTGTTTTTGGTCTCTTCCTGTTTCACCGAAATGATTACATCTTTTGATTTTTAAAGGCACCCTCGGTATATTGCTACTTTATTCGATAAAAAATGACACTCTGAATAGAATGACATATCATATGTCAACTTTGACATTGTCGCTTAAAAACATATCCTATTTTAAATTTCAATCCAGTTTTTTCAATCCACTAAGTTTTAATCAAGGAGCCTTGGAAAAATAGTTTTGATCGTCTAATAGGTTTCGTGTCTTGTCTAGGCCGGTTAAAAGATGTACAAATCGTATTTTTAATCATACATATGTCAATTTTTTCAAATGGAACAAGGGTGACTCATTAGCATATTTGGAAAAAGCATTTTTTTATGAATATATTGATACCACAGACTTGGTATTTCGAGTCAAATTGTCGTTATGAACCGCGTGTTACAATTACAATTAAACCATATGCGAAAATGTCAAAAGTTGACATATGATATGTAATTCTATTCAGAGTGTCATTTTCTATCGAATAAAGTAGAAATATACCGAGGGTGCCGTTTAAAAATTAAAAGTTATAGTCATTTCCGGTGAAACAGGAAGTGACCAAAAACAATTGAATGCGTCAATCAATCCTAATTTATTTCATATACTAACATACTAAATCTTGTTTTTTTATTTGAAAATATAAAAAAAAATATGGGAGATGAGCCACTTTTGAGACGCACCCGGTATAATAAAGACAGTACCGAGTTAAATAAATGTAGTTTTTATCTTATCCACTTCCTATCACCTTCCTTGCTTTAATGGAACAGATTTATGTTTCCTCTAATTTACATAATAAGACATCACTTAACCAGAAAAAAAATTACAACAATCATATTTTTTTTCCTCTCCCTGTCGCCGATTCTATTATATCTGTGGAATAGATCCTGTTTTGATTAATCTTAGGGGTTGTAAATGTTTGACTAAAATTAATAATTTATTATTAATTTCAAAAATTACCGAATTTCGATTATAAAATTTCTTCTATAACGTGTATTATTATTTTTTATCCTTTTTGGACTCTAAATTGTTTTTTCTAAACTTTTATTTAAAAAACCTGTCCTAAATCTTAATAAAATATAAAAAAGTTACTTAATACGATATATTTTTAATTTAATTATAGCTTCATTAAAATAAAAAAATTACCCGGCTATGATACGGAGAGTTCAGGTGTACTTGAGAAACGAAAGACAGTGTTGTGTTTCTCGGCAGTCGTCAGGGAACGACCGTTACGACAGAGACAACCTATCGATCGCTCGTGTCGCACTCGTTATAACCTAAAACAATAACACAACAATAACAAGACAGTGTCTGACCGCATGTTCCAGCTATTTATGAATGAGATGCTCAGTCTATATTTTATTTTAAGTCTATGAACATACCAAATCTCGTTGTTTTATTCGAAAAAATAAAAAAAGTTAGGGGTTTACACTTTTGAAACGCACCCGGTATATCTTATTATGCTACTGCGAAAACGGACACATGAACTGACAGGTTTATTTACACATCATTTTAACTGACAACTGATACAAAAACTTTTAGCAAATCCATCGAGCCACAGCTCCAAAATTCCCAAATTTTTCGTTTCGATATAGGTAAACGTACTGTAATAATTATATTGATAAAACCGTTGGCAAAACTTCCAGTTACGCTAGTTTTTAATCCGTTTTACCTCACATATAAAACGTTATGTGCAGCCGGGGCTTTACATATTCGTTTTTTTGTTGATTTTTTAGTTTTTATATATTTCTTGCTACAGTTTTTACATTAGATCATTTTGCAGGCACAGTGGAAAATATAAAAAGAAAATTGAGTCCGGTGAATCAAAAAATCTTTCAGAGCAATGTAGAAGTTCATATGAAGCAAATCGAAGTTGGCCTAACCCAAACAAATGCGGAAAACTTAGTCATTGGTCCCATAGGAAATATTTAGCGATTCTAAAGTCTCACAAATATAAATAATTTTAAATAATAACTGTGTTCAACATAATTTTATATATATTGTAATATTTTTTGTTTGTTTGTTGTATTGCTTTTTATACAGGGTGTTATTAAAATATGGTATTTTTTATCCTATTTCAAAGCAACCCTCTGATATACGATATACAGGGTGACTCATTACTCTGAGGAATTTCAATATCGTTGTTGTTGACGAAAATATATAATATTGAATTGTTTATGTGTATAGCCTAAGAATATTTTGTTGTATACAGGGTGTCACAAAAAGGTAATGATAAAGTTTAAATTAAATATTTTTAAATTGCAACCCACATTTTTCTCTACAGAATTGGATACAGCTTATAATTCTGCATATATTATAATATATTTGAAGCACTGGGCGGCAATAATACTGGGAGTATATTTAAGTTTTGTTTTCCTAAAAAATACCGTTTTTCGTTTTTTTAAGTACAATATCCTGTAGTTTTTTTATACTTCAACTCTTCCTAATCTTTTAATGGTTTAAGTGTTCACAAATGTTCATATTTTAAAAAAATCAGTTATAGCATTTTAAACAGTGCCTTGTTGGCCATGCTACTAAAAGCCTGCATTAGACAATTTTTCCTTCACAGATTTATTCTGCTGTCATTGTAAAAAACTTACAACTTAATCAAATACTTTTTTGGCACTCTGTATACAACAAAATATTTTTAAGATATGCACTTTTGTAAACCATGTTTACAAAATTGCGGACTAATGGACCACCCTGTATATAAGAATCTATAATAGGTTTAATTAATTTTAAATTGATTTATTTAAAGTAAAAAACGTGTCTGTATTTAAAATATTTATAACACGGTTCAAAATTAAATTCCTAAACAGGATTGTAGCTTAAAAAGCTTCTGTTTGATCAGGTAATATACAGGGTGTTCTGTGTAACAATGTCCTCTACAAGAAGGTATAAAGGAGATATAGTATTATAAAAATAAAATATACAGGGTGGTCCGAACTGTATTCCGAAAACTTCAGTAACATATTGTGCAGATAAAAATAAGTAAAAAAGTTCGTATAAATGTATGTCCTAAAATGCTTAGTTTCGGAGATACAGGGCGTAGAAGTTTCATTTTTTCCAAATAATTTCTAAAGTAACGTCAATATTAGGATGAAAAATGGCGTCTGAGAGTTTTTTGACATAAGAAATTTGATTTTGATGTCAATATGACTCCTACTTGTAGAGGGCGCCATCTACATATTTTTTAACTGGTTTGAAGAGTAATAACTTTTCATCCGTACCTGTATAAAACTACTGGGTGAAAAAATATAAATTTACGACATTTTTTACGTAAAAAGATCTCTTGGTAAAAATCGGTACGAGTAATGGTTCTCGAGATATTTGGAATCGAAATTATCAATACCTGTCATCATTGACATAAATTAAACATGTTGACTAAATAGTTATTAAACTGAAATCATAAATTTGAAATCTTTTTGTGTCAAAAGTTCAACAGAAATTTATTTATCATCATTTTTTCAAAGAAAAATTTATGATTAATTTAAAAAAAATAAAAAGTTCCCAAATTTACAATTTGCGTCAAATAACTATCTACTCAATGTTTATTTTTTTGTCAATAATGACGTGTATTGACTATTTCCATTCTAAATATCTCGAGAACGGAAGAGATATTTTTTACATAAAAAATCACGGAAATGTATATTTTTTCACCCAGTAGTTTTATACAGGTACGGACGAAAAGTTATTGCTCTTAAAAATAGAGTAAACATATGTAGGTGGCGCCCCCTACAAATAGGAGCCGTATTAACATAAAAATCCAAATTTCTCATGTCAAAAAACTCCCAGACACCAATTTTCATCTAAATATTGACTTTACTTCAGAAATTATTTGGAAAAAATCGAAATAAAAATGGAACTTCTACACCCTGTATCTCCGAAACTAAGCATTTTTGAACATTCATTTATACGAACTTTTTTACTTATTTTTATCTGCAGAATATGCTGCCGAAGTTTCCGGAATACAGTTCGGACCACCCTGTATATTTTAATGAAGGTTGATAAATAGGAAATCCAGACCATAATATAATTCAATAGTTCTTATCCAGGACACCATGTATACTTTTTATTTAGTTATTTGTCGAGTGAATTTAAATAAATTTTTATTAATAGGTAAATATAGATATTCAATTTAGATTTTTTTAGTTACAAACTTTTTAGACTGTAGTGATATGTGCAATACACAATAGTTTTTTAATATGTTTAATATACGTAATCTAACCTCAATAATTTGTAGAATATTCATTTCTAATTGAGAGAGAAAATAGTAATGTAATATAACTAACTAAAAAAACTAACCCCATTATTATGTTTTCTCTGACTGTCTATTAAATATGCCATTGTATTTTGTTATTCAGATTTTATATTTTTCTGTATTATATGTATAAATTGGTCTTTCTCTTCATTTCTAATAATTACGTTCTAGAATAGATCATCTAAATTTTTCGATTGTTTTAGCAACTAGGTTTACTGATTTCCGTCATCTACATTTGACATCAGAAATGCGCTGGTTATCCGGTGATGATATACATAGAAACCGTCTCTGGGCCGACTCGTGTGAAAGCTCCCATAAGATTCTATGTACTTCATTAGCAAGCAAATGTGCAACTGCTGTAAATGTGCAAAAATTCAGGTGATTTCCTATTTCAAAAATAAACTGTTATTTACATATTAAATTTTTATTAAATTTTTCGATTTGGTGTTTCCCTACAAAGTTGTTTGGTTTCTCATATAGAACCTATATACCGGGTGCGTCTCAAAAGTGGCTCACCCCTATAACTTTTTTATTTTTTCAGATAAAATAATGAGATTTGTTATATTAGTATATGACATAAATTACGATTGATTGACGTATTCAGTTTTCGGTCACTTCCTGTTTCACCGGAAATGACTACAACTTTTGATTTTTAAATGGCACCCTCGGTATTTTTTGACTTTATTTGAAAGAATATAACACTCTGAGTAGAATGACATATCATATGTCAACTTTTGACATTTTCGCATATGGTTTATTTGAAATTATAATTTGCAGTTCGTAACGAAAATTTGACTCGAAATACCAAGTGTGTGGTATCAAATTATTCGTAAAAAAATGCTTTTTCCGAATATGCAATGAGCCACCCGTGTTCCATTTGAAAAAATTGAGATATGATTAAAAATACGATTTGAGCATTTTCTAACTGGCCAGGACAAAATACTAAAAACATTAGACAATCAAATCTATTTTTCCAAGGCTCCTTGATTAACAATTAGTGTTTTTAACATAGTCATGGCACTCTAGATTGAATTTTAAAATACGATTTTTTATTAAGCGAGAATGTCAAAAGTTGACACATATGTCATTCTATTCAGAATCTCATTTTCTAGCGAATAAAGTAAAAAAATACCGAGGGTGCCATTTAAAAATCAAGTTGTAGTCATTTCCGGTGAAACACAGAAGTGACAAAAACAATTGAATGCGTCAATCAATTTTTTGAATCAATCCTAATTTATGTCATATACTAACATACCAAATCTCATTTTTTTATCTGAAGAAATAAAAAAAGTTATAGGGGTGAGCCACTTTTGAGACGCACCCGGTATACTGTTCGGTATTAATGAAATTGCATTTTTAGCTGGAAGATGGAATTGTTATTCGGGTATGTCGTGTGACTGTGATTTCAGTTCATCTCGTATAAATAACTTAGTAGTGTAACGCCAAAATTTTATGTGGAAATTCATGTTTTTCTTTGCTCTTATTCATAGAGCCTGTCTGTATATCTAGAGATATCTATTATTTTCTAAATTTTGTATTTGTCCCCAATATTTTCCTATATACAGGGTGTTCCTTAATGGCATGCTATTATTTAAGGAGGGGATTCTTGGACCTATTCTAAGAAAAAAACTTCATATGAATATATGTCCTAAACATCTTAACTTTTTAGATACAGGGTGGTAAAATTTTCTCATTTTTTTTTAAATATCACTGATGGTATATTTGATACAAGTCTTCCATGCATCAAAATGTTTATTTTGATATACAAAAAAATTGTTTCATTTCTTAATTTCCTTCCAGACGATGCAGAAATGATTTCCGCATTCTGCAAATGATTGCAACAGTCGCCGCATCATATTTTCAGCGATTTGATCCTGAAATAAGATCTGTAATAAAATCATAGTTATTATAAAAAGGTTTTTTTTTAGAAAAAATTACGACCTTGTATCTCAGAAATTAAGATGTTTAGGATTCATGCATTCATATGAAGTTTTGCTCTCCTTAAATATTAGCATGCCAGAACACCCTGTATTTTTCGTTAAAAAGTCGTTAATTTAGAAACAAAATAACCCCTCTTCTTTCAATTTGGTTTCGCCTTAGGGGGTCCATCATTTTGAGAGGTTTTTCAGTACAGACTTTTACCACAGATTAGGTATCCTATAAGTATACAGATAAAAATCTTGTCTCTAATTCGTGGTACGAAAATTGTTTTTTATGACGATGTGCAAACGAGTAAAATTTCCTGTGCGCAAAAATAAACTCGCGTAAAATAACAATAAACAACGTAATAGAGAGATATCGCTAAACCGAATAATGGACGTTAATAAGGCCAGGAGTTATTTCCTTTACGTGAGGTGGTATTAACTCTCTTCATTTATAGTTATCGGATCGAAAAGAATTCTGTTCGCGTCGCGTCCACTATTTAAACTTAACCTAACTTTGAATTAAAAACTTTGAAATTGTTTTGTTTACTATGTATTTTAAAACTAAAGGGCTAAAGTGCTTATTTCCAGTGCTTTATTGTTCAACGTCTGCCAGTGGGTTTACGGCAACAAATTCTCTTAGAAGGGCTAAGTCGTCATCTGCTGTAAACCTAAACATCTTTATAGGTTCTTTAATATTGGAAGAGGTGGAATCCATATTTTTGGCCATATTTATTTAATTAAAACTAATCCCAGCTACTTAAATATCAAATTACCTAATAAAACTAAATTAATAATTCAAAACTATTCAAATATAACCTGAAATAAAAGATCTCGTCGGCCGGGCCCCTGTTGTCAAATACCCGCACATGCCCATTTAAGCAATTTTTAAACGTTATTTAGAAATAGCGCTTGGTTGGATCCGCAAATTACGTCAGACGGTAACGTTATTAGCGGGTGTTGCGTTAAAAATTGACTCGCGCATATCGTAACCATGATATGGTACGCGTAAATACTGCATGACGCTATTCGGTTTTCCGATATCTCTCTAATAACATGCTAATAACTGTGCCGGTCAGGCGCTGTGCACAATTTTAGAGGCCATAAGTGGGCGTGCTATGTGCGCAAACTAGTAACCTAACTAGTGCCCGATTCCGAAAATTGGAACCACGTAAAACAATAAAGAAAAAACAAAGTTTATAATCTGTATAATCTGTGCTTTTACACTATTTTTTGCACGAAAAAAATTAAATGATATTTGACAAGACCCTATGTCTCTCCACGTGAGATTTAGAGAGATTCAGCTTGACCAATATCATTGAGCTCGACTTCTTGATTCCCTCACTTAATTTATGGATGCCCCATTAATTGTAACAATATTATTTTAATTTAAAAACGTAAGAATTTAACGGTTTTGATCGAAAAGGAAATGTAATTATTTATTGTAAATATATATTTTTAGCGTGTTCTTTATCTGCCTTCATTTTTAATCTAATTGTACAAATAAAGAAGTGATTCCTATATTTAAATTTGGTTTAAAATTTTTTAATATACACAGGGTGTTTCAAAAATTATGTGCCATCTCTCGTGGAGACTCCTCATGTAAAAATAACTTTTACTTTTCATATCAACATAGGTCCGATTCTGCTTTGTTTCGTAGCTATAAGGGGTTAAAATCTTCATTTTTTTTCGATTTATTATAATTTTCTTCCAATGGCTTTTAGTGATTCGAATGAAATTTTGAGGGTGAAAGTTACTATATGTGTTACATATTTTAGTATTAAAAAGTTTCAACAGATTCACCAGGGTCGTGCATATGGGTTATCACAAAAAAAAACATGTGCGCCACCGACTTTTTTCTTTTGATAGCAAAATTATATAGGCAGTTTAATGCCAATTAAAAATTATTTCTTGATATTTTGTCGATTTCGATCTTCTTGATGAGATAAACGTAATTTTATTAATCACAATTAATAAAATTAAAATAAAAATGAAATTAATAGATAATTTATTTTCCCCCAATTTATTACTAAATATTATTACTATTGGCTCAACCTACAGCAAATTCAAATAAAAATATAATGGTATTTAAGATAATTATTAGTAGATAAGTTTTAATATCCTGTAACTTTAAAACTATGCATTTGCATACCCATGTTAATAGGAACTTTTTTTCATATTTTTTGATTTACTATTTAACACTTTCGCAAGTTAATGATATTAAAAATTCGCTATAGGTCGCTATTAGACTTGGATCAAGGTAAATTAATAAAGTGGCATTTAACTCATTAAGGAGGCCGAAATGGACAAAGTATCAAGAGATAACTTTTAATCGCTATTAAACGGCTTAAGCCTAGTTCATGCACTTGCGAATTGCGTCCTGTTTGCGTTCTGATTGGCTACCTTCAAGGAAGACCTTGAAAGCGACTAATTGCAAGGCAAAAAGAACGCATTTCGCAATTCGTAAATCGCATTTCGCAAGTGTATGAACTGGGCTTTACACTATTCTGCTAACGTCTACTAGTCAGTGGCGTACATGCTAAAGGCTTTAGCTAAAGGCCATGCTACAATATGGTTTATCTATGGTTTACCCATAGATAAAAGAAAATAATCTACTATTAAGATAGATATGAAACTTAATAGTAAAATTTTGGGTCAAAGCGCCCCTCCGTGTTTTTAGTGGAGACTACGTTTAACCCAGCGCCTTCGCCTTTTCTGCTGTAAATGTTTTTTATGTTTATATTTGAATTCAAAGGATTTATTTTTAAAGTTACACTGATATATTAGTATATTAGAGTAACTTTAATAAAACATAAGAATATATATATATATATATTTTACAATTTATTTTACAGAGTTTCATGTAAATGATCGTAAGTCGACTGGCTATCTAATGAATAGACCGAGATTTATAGATTTTGAAGCGTACGAAGAAAAATCAAACAACGAATACATACCACATATTTTTCTTTTATCTAAGATACATACCTTATCGTCTTTTGGAAACACGTACATTTTTGCAGTTTTGTTAGTTTCTTTGCAAGATGCAACACAACAAGAAAACACCATTTTTACAGTTAATAAATAATAAAACTATTTCTGACTATGATATTTAAAATTTAGATAGATACAAAATTAAAAAACAAACGAGTATTTGCAAACGCAGGCCCATAATTCAATAAAAATCAAAATTTTTCCTGCGAAAATCAGGCTTTTTTCACTGAAAAGGTATTTTTTGATTTATCAGCAGTCATTGTCAAGTTGACAATATACAGGGTGTTTTCGAATTAGTCTAAAAAAACTATGGTGTGATTCCTCATGTGTTCTTAAAACAATTTTTATATAACCATTAGGTCTAAAGTACTTCCTTTCTGATCTACAGGGTGTTAAAAATTAAAAAAATCGATTTTTTGCTTAACATAAATGGTACACCACTGCTTTTTAAAGGAAATATATTTTTTTTCTTGGCAGGCCATCCTTTTTCAACAAAATTAGTCTTTTGAGTTTTTCTTGTTCATCAAAGGGTTGTCGAGAAAAAAAAAAATATACTTATTAAGAGCCCGCCTTAATTCGTTTTCTAACGATTTTTTATTTTTTAGATTAATTAGGAAGCACCCTGTATATGCATATCACAGGCAACCAAATAAACTAGTAACCTCTAAAAATTATTTTTCCTACCACTAGCGACATACCGTGTTTTTAGTGTGTACTAAATTATTTTGTCAAAATTTCACCATATAAGTTTCCAGGCAATGGGTTTACCATAGAATGCCCTAGTTAAGCACTGTTGTAGCAAGCGTCCCAATAATCCTATTATAATTAGGATCTAAAAAGTTCATATGAATGAATATAGGAAATTTTTCTAATATTCTAAGCAAGTTAAAAAAATTACGTCAATTTAAAACAAACTTTTACTGAGCAAAAATAAAATTGGGGAATATCATCACAATAAAATAGTAAACATTATTTCTTGTATTTTTCTAGTACTTCTAGCAGTTGGTCTGCTTCTTCTGCAGATTTAACTTTAATAAGCAGCGGTACTGGTGGTGGTTTAACGTCGGGAGTCGGAACGGCAACCAGCATTACATTCTGTTTGCCCATTCTTTGGGTGGGTACGTTTTTAGAGAGTATAAAATTTAATAACAGGTTTCCTAAAGTGGTTTCCGCTCTAACTATAAGCTAAAAAATGATAATAAAAAATAGATATTATAATGTGTATAATGTGTGATATACCTACCTGAACTTTCTCACTATTCTCAATAGGCTTTAAAAACAAATTTCCTATACCTCTGTCACTATACTCTTTACCCTTTTTAACAAAAACCTTGCATCTAGTTGTATATAGAGAATCTTTTTCTATTACTGGCTGAATTTCCACTTTTGGGGGTTCATTTTCTTCGTCATCCTCATTGTTATCTTTATTTTGGTTGGATTTCTCTAAAAAAAGCAATTATTGTTATAAAATTATAATAGTAAATTAATAGCCCAGAATATCTTAACTATACAGAAACAACATGGTTTTTTTATGTTTAAGTAATATGCTATGAAAAACAAAAAAACTATTACTAACATATCCATTATTAATAGTATATTTTATACTAACCCTGTTGATTGTTAACATTGCTAAAACTAAATCCTGTGGATGCAGGCGGTGGCAAATCATTTGATTTAGGATTTCCAAATGAAAATGTTGGAATTGAACTTGTATTTGAAGTAGCTGTATTAATATAATTAAAAACATTTTATGTAATTAAAACTATATCAAACAATATATAATTTAAGTTACTTACTCAAAGATGGAAATGGTTTGATTGCGGTAGAATCATTGTTAGGTTTGACTGTACCCGAGTCATTATTAGTTAGTCCTAGTCCAAGACCAAATGTGGGCTTTGGAGCACTTGAACTTGTAGGTATACCAAACTTAAATGTTGGAACTGTACTTGAGTCTTTATCAGTACTTTTTTCTGTTGTACTATCGGGAATTGCAATATTATTCTTAGCAGGAGATGGAGTAAAATTAAATGTTGGAATTGTCTGTTTATCAGGCTTATTCGCCTCTTTGTTATCTTCCTTTTCAATTTCATCTAAATATTTTTCATAGTCTTTAAATATTGGTTGAAGACTGACTAATGGATTTTCAGTAACTTTCATTGAAATCCATTTCGAAACACTTTCATTCAAGCCTTTTAACTTAGAACAGAACTTTTCTGATTTGTTTGAAATTGTTGAAGAGCTAGGAACTATGGGGTTGATTGGATTTGTACTATTTGCAGTTGATCCAAAGATATTTGAACTACCACCTAATGCAGTTGGAGCACCGAATATACTACTAGAGTTCCCTTTAGGATTCAAATTAAAAAGCCCACCTTCTTTAGATGCTTTAGAATCAATTCCATTTGTTTTAGGGCTACTGTCAGATTTAGATGTACCTGATAAAAAGGAAAAATCTCCACCTAAAGGCTTGTTTGTAAAGCCTGTAAAACTAGCAAATGCACTCTTTTTCTCATCACCTTCTGCCTAAAATCAATAAGAAATTATAAGATTGATGTAAAACGTTTGTTATAAACCTAATGTGGGATGTAATATATTAAATTAGCATCGCAAACTAACCCGAATAGGATTACGTCTTTTAGCGGTTTTTATAATTCTCTTTTTCAGAATGTCGTTGGTTGCTTTTTGGAACGTTCCTTGAACTTCTACATCGTCTTCTTCATCCCAATTATCTTGACTTAGTTCAGTCGATGCACCTCTTTTCCCCGCCATATAAAATTTATGGTTTTTATCTACTGAAAAGTGTTTAAAAAGATCGTCGCCGTGTAGGTTAGGTTATATTATCGCCAAAAATTATAAAAAACCGTTAGTTTTTTGTGCACCTGTGTTTAAATAAATACATTGGTAAATAATAAACATGTAAATAGTAAGTAAAACAGAAAAAAATTATACTATAACGCCGCAATTCCAATTTAACAATATTATAAAACACTGTAAAATACCCAGCTCTCAGTGTTTAGGTGTTTGCAGCGCTGCCAGATTGATTCGAGAAAAATTCCTGAGATTGGTCGTCAAAAATCATGAGAAATCGTGAGTCAAAAACGCCAGTTTAAAGGAATATATGGGAATAATAGCAAAATATATACAGGGTGAGTCTTAAATAAGTGCAAATATTTTTAGGGGTATCTATATTATAGTATATTTTGACTCCAGAATAACGTCTGCGTTTTTCCGCGAAAAAAAATTGAAAATTTAGAGTTGTTGAAAATTTTAGTTAAGAAACATAATATCGTGATAATATGGCGACATAGGTAATAGAAAGAACACACAGAAAAGTTCCACTGATTCTCAAAATTTAAGAAAAGAATATATATTTCTTAAATTTTCAAAGGTAAATAACTCGGTTATTTTAGACTTATTTTAATAAATAATAAGAATATGTCTTAGAACATTTAATAAGCTCATGAATGGGAACTTCAACCCTCGTAAAATGTAAAAAATCGTGACATCCTGCGCAAGTATTGTGAGATCCTGAAAGTTGATACAAAATCGTGAAATCTCGCGATAAATCGTGAGATCTGGCAGCTCCGGATGTTTTAGTGTTTGGAACCACAGAACATTTTGGAACTCTTTTAAATAATCTTGCCATAGAGTAATGAATGTAATGAATCTTTATAACACGGCATCAAGGATGAGTAGTAAAAAACATTCACCTGTAAAAAAGTACATTTCTTCAGGCGGTCGGATGTTCTTATTTAAAAAAAAAACTCTCCTTTAAAAAAAACTCCAGACGTTAGTTCAAGTATTCAAGGGATAGAAGTATGGAGGAAAAGTTTTTTTAGCCTCCATAGATAGAAGCAAGATAGAAGTACTGTCATATATGGCGGGAAAATATAGATTTCTTTTTAATGATTCACTAGTGCGTCTATTAGATGGTGCCTTTACATAAAAAATGTTGGTAATATTTTTTCATAGATGGTGCCGCGACTAATTTTTATTTTAATTTTTTATTGGCCCATGACTGTTATTTGCTAGTTGCATACCTATCTCCATCCCAAAGCTCCATATATTTGATCATTTGATCAAATCCTGATCCTATCTCATTTAAATTCAAAGGTCGGGTTTAAATAAAATCTTGTTGTATATTTTTGAAATGCATTTATTTAATTCATTATAATTTTATATTATAGATAAACGTAATGTAGCTTTTCCTGTAATAAGTTTTAAATTTGTTATTTATATTAGTATGCTAATAAAGTATATTAACATATTTTTTCCATACAAATTTTTATATTTGTATTTTTTCGTATTATGTGCAATCGTCGTCTGTTGGTATATACTGTTCTACCAGGCTGTAAAAATCGTCATAGGGGCAGAATTCGTCGCAACCAGATAAGGAAAAGGAAACTGGATCATCTTCTTCATAGAATTGGTAGAATAACTGAAAAAATACAGATAATTTTTATAATATGCAATTGTTTAAAGTTTATTTATTTATTTACAGTTGACAGTTGATAGTATACAGTACACCTCTTAAGCTTCAGTCGAGTAAAACATCGACTTGCCGTACAAATATTTATAAAAATGGTTTTCACATAGGTATACATAATACGGGGTGGTCCGAATTGTAATCGGGAAAATTTCGGGACACCATATTCTGCAGATAAAAATAAGTAAAAAAGTTATCGAAGTTTTCCGAATACAATTTGGACAACTCTCCATATTATTTTTTTAGATTATATCTAAAATTATACCGTATGATCGAAAAAAAACGGCGTCAGCGATGACTATGAAATGAAGATCGTTGGCATTTCATATGTAAATTTATATGGGAAATGTCATAGATATCAGTCATTTCCCAGCCAACTGGACGCCGTTTTTTTTCGATCATGCGGTACTACCGAGCATACTACCTAATAATACGACCAAAAAGATTTTTGATCAAGTGTGCTTTGGCCGATGACAGAAAAACAAACTTATAGAGAAATTACGGAAATTACATTTGAATATTTTATTGTTACTGTCAAAGTGTGAGCCAGCTAAATGATAAATATTTTTGATTATACGGTATATTTTACCTTTATTCCATATACACCGTCAATGAGATGGAGTTCGAAGAGCACGTACGATCCGTATGGAGGGGCCATATGGATTTCAACACCCAGTGTTAGTAACATGTTTGCGACGTTCATTTCATGGGCGGAATATATAAACATTTTTCTGGTCGAAGGATCTATGGATCCGTTAATTTTTTCTTCGGTATCCGAGAGAATTTTTTTCAATAGATTACCTAAAAATTATAAAAACAACTAATATTTATTTATTCTATATTTAAACGTATTTGTATTCAATAAATAGTATGATATGAAGATGAAGGTAGGTAAAGTTTTATTCTTTATTATTTTGTTGCTCCCAGGGTGCATCCACAGCATCCTAGAAAAAGCGGAACGGCGCGACGCGGCGCGGCGTATCGGCGTAACGACCTTGAATCGATTTTCAGCCATTCTATTGGCTGAAATTTTTCGAAAATTCATCTGTCAACAATTTCAGCCAATAAACTTTCTGGAAATCGATACATGGTCGTTACGCCGCGCCGTTCCGCTTTTTCTAGGTTGGTATGGATGCACTCTCAAGTGCAACGATCGGTTACGATACCAATCGAGAGTCTAAACTGATGGTTTTGTGTAAGAATTTAATTTTAAAAGTTTCAACTTTACACACAAGCCCAAAATTTGTATCCATAGGCCAAGACCCCAGGCAAAATCTTCTTGTATACAGGGAATACAAGGTGCTACAAATTCGGGGTCCGAGAATTGGTATGTCGATAACCGTAATAGATACGAACATGTTTAAATTGGGGCAAAGTTGCGCTTTGGATGTTCACCAAGATGCCATCAAAAAAGTTTTAAAAATTTCAAGGATTGCTGAGTTTTTTGGAAAAAACGGATTTTTTTGAAAATCAGTAACACGATAACTCAAAAACCGTTGAACCGATCTTAACCAAATTTGGCACAAAAATACTGTGGCACCCGAGAATCTGGCCATTAGTTTTTGGTGGGGGTGGGGGTTGGTAAGGGGGTATGGGAGGGCGTTAAAAATATTAAAAAATCGTAACTCCAAAATTTCAGTAGCTAGCGAAACGCGGTTTTCAAATTAAGATTAGGAATAATATTTGCAACAAAATTTGTAATAACATCAAAATCAGTGAAAGTCGCAGTCTTCGAGATATTAACATATTTCAGTATGGGTGGCTATACGTGCCTCCCGGCTCCAATTTTTTTTTTCTTGTCGTTACTTTTTAGAAAATCAAAAAACAAAGGGTTACCACCCTCCCTATTGCATAAATTTATTTTCACTTTTACAAAGTAAAATTAACTAAAAAATATGTTTGGCCCCTTTTTCCGCTACTCGTATTTTTGTTCATTTATTAAAAAATATTTACCTGCTACAATTTTTCGCAGGGCTGTTGTATTGGTATATACGTAATAGAGGTCCATGGTGGCCGATAGCAAAGGATCAGGATAGATGAGAGATGTCCATTCCTCCAATTCATAACCAACATCTTCCTATAAATAAAATAACAATAATATGAAACAAACTGCCAGCAATTCTTTTAAATATCTACAACTATTCGTTACTTACTTGGGCAAATAATCCAAAATACAATGAAAAAGCTGTCGTTAAACTCCCGGTTTGGTTTGTGTAAGTTTTGATATTAGTAAACAGGTCTTCGTATCTCGTTTCTAAGTATTCTGTCATCCAATCGCTGTCCATTACTTCGTTGTACAGAGTTTTGAAGTTTGAACAAACACTTTGGCCTTCCAGTAACTATAAAATAATAGTAAAAACTAGGTATTATAATATTTTGTTGGTTCATATCATTTTTTTTCTCAATCCGTTCATTTAACACAGAAATTTAACAAAAGTAATTCCACATATGTGAGGCTATAGCCAGAGCTATAGCTCTCGGCTTATAACTAATAACATTGCTTCAAGTTCAAAATAGTTAAATATGACGAATAGTTACCTTATCTGAACTGTAGTAATTGTAGGGAATGGGTAGCCAAAACAAATTAGACCAAATTTGACTTCCTCTAGCTGGATACAAACCTGCCAACATTAGTTCGGCAGACATTTTCGTTCTATTAACGTTGGTACTTCTGACGTCCAAATAATTGATGTTCCAAGTTGAGTTTAGGAAATCGTCGAATCTTTTACGTAGTTCGCCCCCCATTTTGAACTCTGTCAGTTTACCGGCCTATAGGTTAAATAGCAATAAAATTAAATATAATAATAAATACGCTCACCCTGTATGGTAGCGTTTCGGTACCGCTCCATATCAGATTTTCTATTTGAGATTTTGAGTATATAATTTTTTTGTTACTTATTAATAAACATTAAAAATATAATAACATAAAATAATGGGTTTTACAGGCAGCTTAAGAATACCACAGCTTATTCCAGAACCAGCTAGTCATATGTCTATTCTCGTACACATGCTAGCAGTCAAAGCACTGGTCTTGATCTTTTTTTAAACTGATACTTCAATGGAGCTAATAGTTCACTTCCATGCAAATCGTAATTCGACAGGCTGACTATGAATAGGCTGTGATAATACTAAATAAAAATCGTTAGTTCAAGTTTGTTTCTAGTGACTGGTTAGAAATTAATCATTTTTACAGTAGAAGATCTAGGTGACATGAATTCTAGAGATTCTGATATTGACCTGTTTTAGACATATCATTTTACTGCAAATACATACATTTGTTAGTTGACCATATCCTTCTGGATAGTAACTTTCATCGTAGTAGGGGTTGCTGTCGTAGGTTCCCGATGTTGGGTTTCTGTTTCCATGCCTAAAAAGCTGTAGAAAAATGATATTACTTATATGAGTAGGAATATATTTTTTTATTTCTTGTGTGGTCCAAAATAAGAGGGTAACCAATGGAATCTCGGAAATCATAAAAGCTACGAAGAAGGTCAAATTACTAAAAGTTACACAACACTTCCAGATATTATATTCGAAAAAAAAAATTGTAAAATCATTTTTATTTTTTTTACGTGTATTTGAAAATATACAAATATCTTAGCCCAATAAATAATAGTGATGGCTAAAGTACCTTCTAAGAGCAGAACAAATGAAGGAAGAATTGTAACTAGACAGCTAAATTTAGTTGTTGAAGCAAAAAAATAAAAGATACTACTAAAATTAGAGTATATAAAACTACAATAGAAAGTATAGTGGCATATTTATGAGGTAGAGGTTCGGGAGACGACAATAAATAAAATAGATAAGTATGGCTTATAGTATATTGGAACCCTATAGAACATCAAAGAGGAAGACTAAGGGCAAGTTGGCGAGGTGGTGTAGAATCTGTAATGGGAGGCAAACATGTAAATGTGAAAAACAGACGAGATAGAAGGTGATGGAAACTAGGATGTGAACTATACAAAAAATCACTATATTAAAGACAGTATAACAATTGTTTCGATACACATCGCAGCGCCTTTGGTAAATATTAAAATATCGCATGATCGAAAAAAACGGGGTTTAGTTGGTTTGAAAATGATGATCGATGACATTGTCTATATAATTTAACATATAAAATGACAGCGATCTTCATTTCATAGCTACAGCAGACGTTGTTTTTTTTCGATCATATTGTACCGTGTGATCGAATATAAACGGTGTCCAGTTGCCTTGGAAATGACGCTGTGATAACGATCGATGGCATTGTCTATATAAGTTTACTTATAAAATGAAATTGATCTTCCCTTCATAGCCACCTCTGGCGCCGTTTTTTTTATCATACTGTACTTTATACAAAAGTATTTTAGTATTTGCAGAAATAACACATGTGTATCCAAATAATTTTTATACAGTCTTTAGTGAAAATGTTTTATACAGTATGTCCCGGATTGTCTTTACAAGAGGAAAAACTTTTTTATTATTGATATTTTGAGAAAAATGCATTCTTCATTAAAATTTTTGCTTGTTCTAAAACGGTTAATCCCGTTTATACTTCACAAAATTTGCATACCGTTTTAGAGAAAATAAAAAAAAAACATGAAAATATGTCCAAAAAAATCCTTTTTGGGTATTTCGCCACTGCACTGCAAGAAAATCTACAAAATAAAATAGTTGTTTTTTGTAAACACTTCTGCGTTAAACCTAAACCGACACTGCTTATCAGAAGTTATGTTTACAGTTATATAAATTTGCCTAACAAAGAAAAAATGCTTAACGTTTCGGAAAGTTAGTCTCTTTCCGTCGTCTGTGAAGTAGCGAAATACTCATAAAGGATTTTTTTGGAGAGATGAATTCGCCACATAGCTATAGACATTTTTTATGAAAATATGGTTGATTTTTTCATTTCAAGTCATAAAAATCAAAACGCGTTTCTATGGTAAAAAAAAATCAACCATATTTTCATGTTTTTTTTTAATTTTCTCTAAAACGGTATGGAAATTTTGAAAACTATAAACGGGATTAACCATTTTAGAACAAGCAAAACATTTTGCGAAGAATGGATTTTTCTCAAAATATCAATAATAAAAAAGTTTTTCCTCTTGTAAAGACAATCCGGGGACATACTGTATAATTCAATATTTTTGTTGTTATTTTATGTGACAGAAACTAATCGTTTACACTCAAAACTTACCACGTGGGCTAGTTGTAGAGTAGTTGTATTATAAGACACCCTAGGTGGCTTGGGTGGTGGAAAAGCCTCTACCAACAATCCCAACGAGACTAGACAAACTATGAAAGCAAAAACCCTGGAACTGAACATCTTGCTGAATGTTAAGGTCTCCCCAAAATTCGAGTTCTTTTATACCAACATTTTGATTATGGAATTTGATTGATTATTAACGGTAATAAAAGGACCAAATAAAATTTTATTGGATTTTGATCTGCACATTCCGGAAGGATTTAGTACACATTTTTGAAAACGTGATGTTTTTGAAATCCGCACGTGATCTCTATCACACTTAATAAAATATTTATTGCCTTACATATTTGGAATTACTCATAAAATTAGTTACAGAAAGTTAATCGATATTTATTAAGCAATATTTATTTTTAATACTGTCATAAAATCGTCAGTGGAACGTATTGGGCAGTCATAAAGCAGCTTTAATTTTTTTATTCATTAGCATACTATTTTCAATATATCGATTTGATATTAAATTTTAACCTAATAATATTGGTCAGCAAATTAACGTCAGATTTTTATTCATAAAATATCAAATTTCTCTATTTGTTACCCTGACGAAAAACGCATTTGAAAAATTGATAGTAAAATTTTCATCATTTGTATTTTAAACTGAATATATTTTAAATACGATGACAAACAAAATTTGGGCGAGTTTGAAACACTCTGTGAAATGGTTTAGATTTGATTTTTTTTGAGGTGGCTATCGGCATCGGCCCACTTCGACGTGTTCAAATCTATTGTGGTCCTCTTCGAATAAGTTTACCAAGGTAGACCTAGAGGTTACTCCAGTGATGACGAACCTATGACACGCGTGTCAGTGCTGATACGCGAGCTCATTTTTGGTGAGACGCAAAGATAAATATTTCATAATTCAAATATTTGTCTCTCATAACGGCCAGAGTTGGTTATTTAATAATAATATTATTACAATAGAACTTCACTAAAGGTTGATTCTCACTATACCTACCGTATCAGCTATTTTCCGTTTCCCCTTCCGTTAACATATAATATTATATGATGTAAATCCGTTCTGTTTCCCTTCCGTTCCATATCCTTTCCTTCCATACATTTTTTTGGCGGAAGGACTGCAGCGTATCGGAAACAGCGTTGTCAAGTTCTTACATTTGCACCAGCTCTGCTAACATTTTGCTGATATTTATTTATATTATTTCACTTCTTAATTAAATCTATGACGGAAAAACCAGAATGGTGGTCTGAAAACTTAAAAAAAAATTATAGAAGAAAAAAAGCGATCCTACCAGAAATGGCTTAGTACCCACAGCGACCACGACAGAGAAGAATATTTTAAGATTAAATTTCAAGATTAAATAGAATGGTTAAACGCGAAGTATCTAAAAGCAAAAACAAAATGTGGGAAACCAAATGTGAGAGAGTGGAAAGATATATTAGAGGTACAAGAGTGTCAGAAGCGTGGAAGACAATAAGGAACCTTAGAAGAGACGAAAAGCAAAACAGTAAACTAGAACTTATAAGCATGGAAAAGTGGGAAGACCATTACAAACAGTTACTGAGAGAAAACAGGACAGAATTCAAACTAGAAGTGCCAGATTTGAAAAACGCAAAAGATATAGATGTAAATGAAATAAGTGTAAACGAGATAAAGAAAGCATTGAAGAACTCAAAAAATGGAAAAGCTGCGGGGCAGGGAAACATTTTCATTGAGCTAATAAAGCAGGGACCCGATATATTATTGGAAATACTAGCTGATATCTTCAACAGATGCCTGATAAAAAACGAAAACATTCCTGAAGACTGGAACCTGGCGTACATCAGTTCTATCTTTAAGAAAGGAGACAAAAAAAGATGTAGCAACTACCGAGGCATTAGTTTAACAAGCTCAATGGGAAGGTTGTATGGCAGGATATTAAAAGAGAGAGTAGAAGAGAGCTTTGAAGAAATAGAAGAAAATTATTTGAAATCTTGGTTGAAGCAAATGTTAGTAAGACATATATCAATGCAATCTGGAATATGTACAAAAATCCAAAAAGTATGATTAGACAGGGGAAGTTCCTATCGGAATCCTTCCTGACATCTAAAGGACTTAGACAGGGGTGCAGTTTATCACCTACCTTATTTAAAATATATATCCAGGAGGCATTGAAAAACTGGAGAAGGAAGTGTAGAGCTATGGGAATAGAGATTGACAACCACTGTCAATTGACCTTGTTCTTTGCAGACGACCAAGTTATTGTTGCAGGTTGTGAGGAGGATGCCGACTATATGTTCAGGAAACTTGAGGAAGAATACGACAGATGGGGACTCAATATCAACCTCACAAAAACCGAATACCTGAAAGTAGGAGAATAACAAACTGAAGATCCTGAACTACACATACATGAAATTAAAAAGTGTAGCGAATATAAATATTTAGGAAGTATTATATCTGAAGAAGGGAACTCCAAGAAAGATATACATAGTAGAGTTCAACAAGGTAAGAAAGTAATCGGTCTTTTAAACCCTCTCCTGTGGTCAAATAAAACATCCATCCAAACAAAGATAAGGATTTACAAAGCAATGGTAGAGCCAATTTTAACATACGGTGCCGAATGCTGGCAATTTACAGCAAAAGAAAGAAGGATGGTCGAGTCAGTGAAGATGGACTTTCTCAGAAGAGCATGTCGCATATCAAGAATGGAACACATTAGAAATGAGGAGATCAGGCAAAGAACAAGGCGAATATATACCAGCACCGACAACATCGAATCGAGACAGCTACTATGGTATGGGCACGTAAAAAGAATGGGAGAGGAAAGATGGCCAAAAAGGGCAATGGAGTATCGTCCCCAAAGCAGAAGGAAAAGAGGAAGACCTACAACTACGTGGTTAGATAGAAGTATATGAGAGACAGAGCTATTAACCAGGAAGAATGGCAAAATCGAGCAATATGCAGGTCGAAATGCGGGATGCGGTAGAAGCTGTAGGACCCCCGCTTTAAATATAAATAATTAAATCTATTACATTTTTCGAAAGATACAAATTTTTAAAATAAAACTTTCGTTATGATATAAATTGTAAAATACAAAGTATGGAACTGATACGGAACGGAACCTTACGTATAGCGTCAATACAATAAAAATTCGGAACAGATATGGAATGGATATGGAATGGAAACGGAAGGTATAGTGAGAAACAACCTTATTCGGACACGGCGCCAAATCTGACACTCCAGTAGTTAGGCGTCTCTTAAAAACCGGACAATGTTGATAGTTATACGTTTTAATTCCGGATGCCAACAAAATTTAAAGGCAAATGAATGAAAGTCCGCATTTTTCTTGGACGGTGGACGATTAGATGCAGTATGTAGTCTTTTCTTTGTAGTACAGGAGTCAGGAGTATCGTACATTGTTAAAAAATAGAGCCAACTAAACGACTCTTGCTGAAGAAATGCCAGATTGGATTGCATTGACAAAGAAGGAAGGATACGTAACTTTTCTGTTCCATACATAATACTCCATTTTTTATGGAAGGAAAAAAAAGGAGAAAAGGAATTTGTTTCTGGGTTGACTGAAGAGAATAATAGGGGAGAGACAAATTGAGGAAAAAATACTAGGTAGGTATTAGAAACAAAGAAAACAAATGACGCTTTAAGTGAAACAGAGGATAACAATGTTGTATTGAAAATGAAACTTAACAATGCTGTAAATTTTTTATCAAAAAGTATTTACTGGGTAGAAGAAGACGACGTTTCTATGCAAGACTTTTTTTTGAAAGCAGTAAAAGAGAAGCCTGGTTGAGGCAGCAAAATCGACAAGTATGTAGGGCAGATAAAAATCGATTCATTTTTTTAAACCAATTAATTCAAATCAAGTGAACATTAATTTCATATTTGTTGAAATTTTTATGTAAGACTTTAAAGTGTATTAAGGTGAGTAGTTACTTAATACTTCACTTGGTAACTGTCATAAAACTGACGTTAATTGTAAAACTGGCATTGGCTTTATTCCAAGTCTTTTATCTATGGCTTTATTTCTTTGAAAAACAAGTTTAATCGGGTTTGGGTTGGTTTAATTGTGGCCAGCCGTAGCTCCAGCAGTAGTGTGTAGATGTGAGGAAAACACACCACAGTGGCAACAAATACCCTGATATTTAAAAAAAAATACAGTTCCTATTTAATGTTAAAATATAAGTATAGGGTTTACTCTTTGAGTTTGAAGTACTAGAAAAAAATAATGTTTATTTTTTTGTAAATATCAACGCCCAGTATTTTAAAAACGAAGCAATTATTCTCCTATATTGATCAATAATTGGAACAGAATCTCTCAATATTATCTGTGTTATCGATATCAATAAAATATTTGAGTCATAATTGAGAAGTTAATATAAAATAACATTTGAATTAAAATATGTTTCCATTTGCAAAATTCTTTTTAGTTGCAATGTCTGATATTATTTCATTTCTCTTTTTATTGTTAATGCTATAATTTTCTTTTGGTATAAACACCCTAAAGCTAGCATGTGTGGTAAGTACACACTTTACAACAAGTTGTTAATGTTCAACACATAATAACTTTTGGTAACACATAATAACTTCGCCTCCACTTTGAGTTAAGAGTTAATATTATATTTTATACTCTTCAAGTTTAACTGAAGGTTATTTCATACTTTCTTAACCCATTATAGATTTATGGGGCGAGGGAGGGGGGGGGTTAATTACAGCGATCGTGTAGATTTATTGTGTCTCCATTTATTGAGTTATAACTCAGGATAGTCTCAGGGCTTTGACAAAAATCAGTATCTAGGACGGTTTTACAGAGGTTAGTTTTCCATCCATTTTATAAATTATCTTGATAGTTTGCCTTTTATATTATTAAATATTTAAAACTATATACAGTATGTCCCCGGATTGTCTTTACAAGAGGAAAAACTTTTTTATTATTGATACTACATTTACTTATTTTTTTTAACTACATTTTCATATTCTTTTTTAATTTTCTCTAAAGCGGTATGGGTATTTGGAAAAGTATAAACGGGATTAACCATTTTAGAACAAGGAAATTTTTTATGAAGAATGCATTTTTGTCAAAATGTCATTAATAAAAAAGTTTTTCCACTTG